CCTGGGTTTACTCGGCGTAGGACGCATGCAGGCTGTTGCTGGGAATGGCAGTCCAAAACCACGCAAGTCTTCCCAAACGCCCAAGTTCTGGATGCTCTGCTCTTCAACAGCCTTCAGGTGTTTAGCAACAGCCTCCAAGTGTTTAGATTGCACGTCATGATGGGCGGCTCGTCCCTGCTGTCTCTGAGCGTCTCATGGTGGTCCCGAATCTTGCACCATCAGGGTCATTAACTGCAATTTCACCTTTGCAGATTGAGTGGTCGAAATCAGCCGTAAGATTGGTTGTTTGTTCCAGAGGCCTGAAGAAAACCGGTGTCTTAAGGGTGGTGCTGTGTTTTGCTCCCTTTCTGTACTTGGTTGTTAGTGCACTACTGGGGACTCTCCTGTACTGGGCAGCTCTGTGGAGACTTATACTACTTACTAGTATAAGTCTCCAAGATTGCAAGATCGCGCACATCGCAGAAGTGTTCTAATCCCCGAGATGTTCTGGGTTTCCTAGTCTGTCATATTGAAACTATATAGGTTATGCGGAACTCCTGGACAGAGATACGAATTCGCTGCTATGTTGCTTTAGCTCTCGGTGCAGTGCAGAAAGGGCAGCCTTTTGGACCGGAAGGTGTTGCTAATTACTTCGGAGTGCCGCGCCGCACTGCGGGCTGCTCGATTTGCGAGGCTTCGAACCCCGAAACCCACCGGCCCTGACATGGGCTACCATTGGTTCTTTCAAGGTTACCAGTGCTATCGGTTCTCGTCTACCGTCTTAATAGCTTGTATCAGAGTTATTGCTGTTGGAGCTACCAACATGCTGTGTGTTTCGTTTGTGCTTCCAATGGTGAAGGGTGCCCGCCTTTAACTCAGTTTGAGGGTTACGGATCATCTGTGAGGTGATACCTGGAGAGAGAAAGCACAGAGAAACCATTTGGAGGAACTGTCAGTGAAGCCACGCTCGGCTGCAAGGGCTCGAAAGCCACCGTGAGTCCATACCCCATGCTTCTTGAACATGGGCATCGTTTCAAGCGCCATCTTGCAGAGAGGCAATGTGGTGCAAAAGGCATCTCCGTGTGCCCTACACCCAAAATCAGTAGGCCCCCACCATGCAAGGACCAGGGTGACGCCCAAGTCCTTCTAAAGAGTGCTGCGGCTCGCTCGCCGGCACAACGCAAAAGATGTGGTCCGTAATAATTAGCCACACCGGCGTGCCCTGCGCTTGTTTCTGTTTAACAGATGTTTCTGAATCACCATGTGGACCACGTCTGCCGGGATTTCCGGCTGTTTCATGATGCGGGCTCTACCTGCTGAACTCATCAGCTGCGGCCTGAAATCGCGGACTGCCAGGTGTGGATGGTAAATAGAAGCGCCGGGCTTTGGAGATGCGTCTCACCAAAATTGGATGTTTACGGGCAAAGTGTGGCTGGCCGTCAAGCAGTCTGTACTGTAGTGGTTAAAGACATTCCTGCCCAGAGACTCAGAGAGGGAGGGAGCGAGGGAGAGAGATAGACCCGATGACTGCCATAGTGGCGCGGAGATCAGGCGCGTATTTGGTTTTGTAGTGTAACGGGCGGGGTTCTCGGCTCAGAAAGCCCTGTCATGGGACCCAATGCCGTCCACTGGCTAAACCTATGTGGGGGACGGGCGGGCGCAACACCTGCAAGTTAGGCTGACCGACCCCTTTGCCCAGCAGAAGGAAAGAAATAAAGAAAGAGAGCGGGGATGAGGCCGGGAAGCGGGCCCAAAGTTCAGGGAGGGAGGGTCCACGACAGACATACGTTTGCGGCTATACCGAACGGGGGATCACAACCCCTTGTTTTGAGGCCCCAATACCTCTTCCACCGAAGAAGGGGGAAGGGGGCGCTTTGGCGCGGGCTCTGTCGGAGCTCTACTCCTGCGAAGCGAAGCGAAGACGGCGAGCGAGAGCGACTTCCGGAAGAAGAGAGATGAACCCCTCGCCAGAGAGAGTGTGTGAGTACGCAGGGCAGCAAGAGTTCAATAAACTTGTCCACACGCACAAACCTAGCAAGTGCTACCATTCAGTCATCTATATGCTGGCTGGGCTGTGCGTTTGGTTCGTCTTGTTTCAATGCCGCACGTGTCGAGTTCATGTGAATAACATCGAAAGTTCAGGCACCCTGAACCTTGATTACCCCAAAGTGTGGGACTTTCCAAAAGCACCTGTTACCGTAACAGTTACCCGTAGCGTGTGTGTTGGCCTTGCCCTTTACAAGAAGGAGTTTAGACATGATCAGCATGGCGCGGGGCCGAAATGAACTAGTTGCGGCAGCGATCTTCCAGCGGTTTCAGGCTTCGTCACACGCAAAGTGTTTATATTCAATGAACCCTGTGCAACTTTTGGCTTGGATAGCTGGATAACGCCATCTCTCCGAAGGGAGGATGGTTCAGTGTCACCCAAGCGATGCCATCCAAAAGCGACACCCTCGGAAGACCCGGCCTGCCTGAGACCTGTGCAACTTCGCTTTTGCAGCTGGCAGTAAGGCACACGCAGTCGCTGACTATGACCTTGGCTGCTGCACGCAATTACCGCGGACTCGACGCATGAAGGTCGAAAGCTCAAGGTATCAAAACACAAACTCCAGGATCCCTAATCCCGTGCTGTAAGTATATCTGTGACCGGCAGGCCCTTGTGCTTCCGCTTGGGCCAGCGCGTCACTGGTCATTGTCGTATCGGCACAAGACCTGGGCGTGCAACCACACACCTGTGGCCGAATCGCGTGCGTTGCAAGGGTGAGCACTTCTGGCAGAAAGCTTCTGATGTTCTCAAAAGATGTCGCAAGGCTTTCGCAGCTAGTAATGCGCACCACAAGTGTCTGCGCGAGCCCCCAAACAGGGAAACAGCCAGCAGATGATTTTAAAGGAAAGCCGGAGCTGCGTGTAAAAGCATGACTGAAGTCGCGCCATGTGAGAGCTTGCGAAGCAGTAGACTTCCAGTAGACCCTGTCAGGTTAGACTTCGAGGTCCGTTGGTCCATGTGACTCGCAGGAGGGAAGTGGGGCCCCGTCAAGAAAGACTGGCTCGAGGCACCTAGTGGCTCCACTCTCCGGATCCCTTCTGGATGCGAGTGACCTCTTCCGCCGGTTCCGGCATTGTTTTTGAAGCCTTAATTTCAGATCCTCTGCCGCGCAGGGAGCAGCGTTTCCATACGTTCCGAACGGAGGAAGCCAGGTCCTATGTACTCCACTCCGGCTTGAATTGAAAGGGGCCCCGGGCCGTTCGGGAGTTCAGAATTTGTGAAAGGTCGGGGCTTGCTGGTAACGCCTCTTTGTTATCTCGGGAATTTACAAGTTTTTTATTCGGATGCGGCAAACTGTTCGAAACGCAGTAGGCAGCAACTTGGTCAACTCTATGTCGTCGTCAAGGCCTATGTCGTGGAAGTCGTGCATTGAGTCGTCCCTTTGAAAGCTGTAGGACGTGGATGCAGAAGCCCAGCAGAGGTTCTGTCGTTTGAAGGTTTGAGAGTTGGGGCGCTAGACGGTTCGATGCGAAATCGCTGCGCAGCATGCGCAAGTTTCGTGGGGGTCCTGGACTGCGGCATGTTACACACGTGTCTGAGCAGCGACCCCCCAAATCCTTAGATCTCCTGCAGTAGACAGTGTAAACGTATGAGATCCCTGCATGAGCCGTCATGCCTTTAGGTTTACACCGGTGTCGCACAAGCTACCTGCTGCGTTGCCGGACATCTGGGGTTTAAGCTCTTGGGGCCTACACAGACTTCAGAACACAAAATGTGAAGTTTGCCTGTCTGTGTCGCTTCCAACCAGCGCCTGCACCGAGGTAGCCGGCCAGGTGCGACGACAACCAAGGCTCTGAGCACAAATGAATCTGTATTTGTTGATTGCCTTTCGGCAATGGCAATATACATCAATCACACAGTGTATACTGCTTAACAGCATGCATAAATCCACGCATGCATGCACACGTACTTGCACTTGTCGTATTTGTTTATTTATCTTCATGACTTTGTAGATTCGTCTTCTCATATACTTGTCCACGCGACATTATGCGATATATGCAAGAAAGGCACCGTGCTCACGCAGACATGAAAGCAGAGATCCTGAACTCGGAAAGCGTCCTTAGCAGCTTTACCACCGGCAAAGGGGATCCGTGGGGGTCAAGTTTCGGACATGAGTGGTCGTGTTTTGAACTTTGAGCTTGCGGCTTTGAGATAAGCTTTCAACCCCGTGCAGCCTGAAGCGCATTCGGAGCATGTCCTGGTATGATCTGGTATGCACTATATGCACCTTTGCGGCTCAAGGATGCCAATGCTAAAAACTGCGCCATACAGCGTAGTGGTCCAGGTCAGAGCTATGCCAGGAAGACCACATCCTCAGCATGTTAGTTCACTGAAACATACCCAAGTTTTGCCCAAGTTGGTGGTCTACTGCAGTGGTTGTCCGTTTCACTCTTCGTCGCTTGCGGCCACGAGCCACCTTTCTGCTGCGCATGCCGCGGGCTATCGCGGGCTCACGGCATCTCACTCCTGAGAATCTTTGCTGGGCTTGCTGCCAGGCCGTTCAAGTGTCTGCCGTTAGATAGACTCCTCGGGGAAGACGTGCTGCACCATGAGTCCCAGACTTTCGGGGCAGTCCTCACAGGTTCTCTTACCGGACCCCGAAAAAGAGCCCCAAGCGTACAGGAGCTGGCATTCCAAGCTTCGACACCAAGTCTTCACCTGGAAAGACCAGATCAGCAAGACAGCACAATCTGCAGTGTAATTGCTACAACCTGACGCCCAGCCGTGCGATCGGATATGCTCAGCAGCGGCTAGCATTTGCCTTGTAGTCTGATGTCGAGGAAAGAGGACGGTAACGCAGGCTGCTTTCTGCAGGGTTGAGGGTTCGGGAGCATGAGCAGTCCAAGCATCATGGAAGTCTACCCTGCGCCCGCACCTCAAGACAAGACACCAAGCGCATGAACCTTGAAAGTACTCGCTCACTTCGGTGTTGAAGTCGGATACAGCATCATGAAACTTGGAGTTGGGAATAGGAATGCAGGGTTTGCCAGCGATGGCGGCGACAGTCCCCAGCCGCCCCACTTCAGACGACCACATCTTGGTCAGCAGATGCTTGGAGAACTCTCAGAATTCCGGATATCCGAATCATAGTCTGAGAACCAAGCCATAGGTGTAATGTCCATTTTCAGCGATCTCCGGTTAAATGCAAGCCTGGTCTTATTTCGCTGTTCACCAGAAGTAGATCCTCGGTTCTGATAGTGAAACGCCTTCGGCTGTTTAGTCTGGCATAGTGGCTGGTCGTTGATCTTCGACTGGGACACCTCTATCTCTATCCTCTCCCAACCCACCCGTCAGCCCAAGCCCAGCCAAAGCCTCCCCGAAAACTGCAACCGCGACCCCGCCAATCCCCGTCCGAAACCGTGGTTTTCAAGTCCGAGCTGCATACGAAAGCCTCAGGAAGCTGGGACGACCTCCTAAGCTCTCAGCAGCTGTTGGTTGAGAGCACCCTTGCGTTCAACAAGGCACGTTCATACGCAATTGAACTGTTGCTGCTGGAACTGCGTAGGATTGAAGGTATGTATACAAGTTTCAGAATTGTTAGTTGGTTTGCAGCCAGAGTTACTCCAATTGCCTTCTGCGTTGGCGTGTATACCTGTCGGTGTCATGGTCATTATGTCATGTTCAACCTTCTTTCACTTCTATTTCGTTTTCAGCGCCACTGGCGATATTACTGCGAGCCAGGAGCCTTTACAAGCACCAGCTCTGTCCACTTGCAACAAAAAAGCAGCATGATGCGAAGAAACCCTGCAAGAACGGAAGCTTGTGGCTCGAATCGCAAAGCGGAGAAGCCTGGGGGTTCCTGAGTCCGTGAATTTATGTCAAGGTTCACTGTGGAGCGCAAGTTAGCTATGAAACTACTCAAAGCCATGAACATCTAAGATACCGAGGTCTCAGCCCCGAACCCTGAACCTTACAACTTTCCAGCCTGTTTGATCGACAGGCCATGGCCCAGAAGTTTGCGGCCGATCGCTTGACGCCCCCACCACCCCGACAGGAACCACAGGGAGGGTTTGTGCAGCCTGTTCAGGTTTGATGGCTTTCCGGGTTCTGGGTTGAACCTTGCAGCCTTGAGAAATAAGTTTGAAGAACAACCGAACCGTGCAGAATGGAGAACCCCAACAACCACTGTTACTCAATCACCCATGGATCGGGCTCAGGCTGCGCACTGACTGCACTTATGTTTCGCAATTTCCCTGCCCAGACCGGTAACCTTATTATTCAGGCACTAGGTCCTATCTTTCCATGCTGCCGTAAACTTGATGATACTTTCCGATCAAGCTCGAGAAGATCATGAAATCCTCACTCAGAGCCAGGGAGTTTCTGACGTCGCATGGTTGCCCCACTGCTGCGGAAGCTTTCCGGGCGAGATGCTACACCATCAGGCTGGTCAGCACATGCAGTCAGCGTTTCCGGGAAGAGGGGAGCGGTATCACCAGCTTGTTTCAGGCTCCAAGGCCTTACGCGCGTCTTTCTTCGTTGCTGAGACAAACATCAGTTCACAGTGCTTGATCATCTCACAGCCAGCTGCCAGATGCCCTACGCCAGGTGGTCGAAGAGAAGGATCGGAAGCGCAATGACACTGAGGAGGAAGGTCTTGTAGTCACCACGGCGTCAGTGACAGGGGCTTCTGGATGGTCTAAACGAAATTCTATCAGTTCCCAACTCGCCTGTCGTGTCACTTGTTTCTTGGCGTCCTTCCTAATGTGATTAGGTTTTGTGCCTCCCCAAAACACTTCCGGCGCCCTGAATAAGCGCCCTGGCCCTGCACATACCCTTTAGGGCCTCTTCTTATCCCGTACGAGATGATTTTGCCAGTGTAAATCGCCAAACAGAGGATACACCTGACCCTTGGCCGAACGATGTAAACATCAAGGAAAAACTGTTTCCTGGCAGCCCTGCTTTCATGTGGTGCTGCCCTTTGAATTGAAAGACCAAATTGGATGCATCTCAGCTGCCAAACCGTCTGACATGTACTAACCTGGCACACTAAATATTGCATTCCTTCAGGAACTACCCACCAGCCGGCACGGATCTTGGGGGTAATAACCACAACGCTCCATGAAAGTTTCGGGTATGGTGCCTTTACTGCGCATGAACGACACAGCAGCAGCAACGACGATGATAGCAACATCAAGTACATGTAGCTTTGGAGTATGTTGTCATCATGTGCAACGGCATGCGATCCTTCACTTATCAGTCAAAGCGGAGTGACTACGGGGGATCTTAAGAGACTCAGCATGGAGTGTCCCTGACATGCATTGACAATACAACTGTTCGTACTTCCGCTCACATTGGAGGTCTTGCAAACACAGAGAGCGAGAGAGAGGCAAAGATGAAGAGAAGGAGAACGAGAGGCAGACAGAAGTGTTTTCGTGATTCACCTGGGTAGCGCTTCAAGCAGATCCAGACTATTAAGATTTCAGGCTTTCGGGGTGCATCACTCACAACTCGCAGCTGTTGGCCCGGGGGCGTCGCGGTGGATGGCCATTGGCAATGGCACCTGCCAAGACGGCGCTGCAGGACCCAGTGATTGCAAGTGGGATTGAAGAAGTGCTTGAGTGCAGTACATTGATCACAAGTTGAGCTCGCCGTGTGTGGTTACTTCGTGGCCGTGCACAGTGCTCAGAAGTCATCGGCAGGTTGGACGTCTTGAGTTTGAAGGTCGTGGCCGATGAAAAACAAAAGCTCAAAGTCCATGAATCGAACCCAAAGTTGACCCGACACCTGGATAACAAACCCCCCAGACGAAGGCGCCGACGGCCCCTTTCCCCAGACCTCCAAGAGAGAGCCAAGCAGTAAAGCCTCCAAGGCTCAGTTGCCCCTGTTCCCCATTACACTTTAAGCCCGAGACTTGGTGAAACACACACACACACACACAGACACACACACAGACACACACACACACACACACACACACACACACACACACACACACGGGTAAGCGCCAGACCATGCGCCGCAGCAAAATATGGATGGATGTGAGTATGCGGTCAAGGATGATTTGAATACGTAGGACAGAAGTCTTCAGTCTGGCTACACGAGTCTGAATTCTTGCACGTTTGCAAGTGTACTTTCTGCCAGCGGAGTCTGGAGCAAAGCGTGCATACATCGCCCGCCACGACTCGTGCTCGCGATGCAGATGAACTTTGTTCGAATTACATTTGATTGGGTTTGTTGTGTAAGTGAATGCAGCGAAACCTTCAGGACAACTTCGCGAAGCTGCGCTCAGCAGCACGGCCGACGGCCATTAGGCTCGTCAACGAGGCCGACATTCGAGACACCTGTCAGCAGTTTGCTGATGTCCCATGTCTGGTTGGACCCGGGATTCTGTGCTGAAGCGGGCGCTTGGCGGTGGGTTTGCATTGAGCTCGCGTATGGTTCAGCGGCGCCTGGCCCTTCATCTCACGCCACGCATCTGCAGAGTGCGCCCAGGAAAAGACAGCAGATGGACAGACGCTGCTCTTTGCGACCGCTGGTGGCACGGTCGCAATAGTTCAAACCCGACATCCAAGCTGGCCAGTTGCAACCCAGGGACATGACATGGTTCGTGAAGCCTGCTGATTGCTAGACATCGGACTGTCGCATCGACTTCTACGCTGACACCGAACAGCCCAAGTCTAAAGTCTGAGCCTACATCCGAAACACACGTTCGCCTCATCTCATTGTTTTACATCTTCCAAAAAGCCTTACATAAGTCCTGTGGGTCCTGTGCCTTGAGTTTTCATTCTTCTGCGATTCCGTACTGGCTGAGTCCTTCCCAATGCAGACATCAGCGACCAATGACATACACATACATACACATACATGCACACACGAATGCGCATACCCATGCGCATACACGTACATAATACATAATACATATATATATATATATATATATATATACGTACATACCTACATACATGCTTACCATACATACGTACATGGATGTACATATGTATGTACGTACACACGTAACTGCATATATATATATATATATATATATATGGTCACCCCACCCCACCCCCCCCATGACAGACCATCCCCTTCAAAACATCGCTCCCACCGGTGTGTTCGTGCTTGTTCCGGGGTATCGAGTTTGAGTCCTCCTAACGTATCTGTGGAACCACCAGAAGACCGAGACCAAAAAGCCAAAGAAACAAAGTTTCACATGTCTGCGGAACCATTAGAAAACCGAGACCAAAAGAACAAAAAATCAAAGTTTCAAGGAGAATGCCGGATCAGTTTTGTTTTTTGGATTTTTGGTTTTGTGGCAAAATCCAAAAATCCAAAAAACCAAAACTGTCCCTGCATTCTCCGTGAAACTTTGGATTTTTGGTTTTGGGTGCATCCTTGCGTCAGTCACGGCCTCTGCCCCTGCCCATAGAGTGTTTGGAAAGTCCTGCAAAGAAACCCCCCCGTTTCGGCTCGAGAACTGCGGCAAATCTGATACGCAAGTCAAGAGTAATACTACAAATACTCCGGCGAATACACATCATCATATGAATATGAGTATTAATGCTAATACTTTCATTAGAACTCATGCCAATATTTATATTACTATCACTAATTATTCATAAAAGCATAGATACTCCTACGAAACTAACTCATGTATTCTACTCACAATAATACTATCACCGATACCAATACTGACATTGATAGTTTGTTGAATATTCAGGATAACACCAGCACTAATACTATTATTGACATTTATATTCATGCTAATACGAATATTCATAATACTAATACTACTATGAACATTAATGCTCCTACGACTACCCATAGTCATATTCTTTTTGACATTAATACCAATACTAGCAGACACCTGCAGATACTAATGCACGTAAAGATACATACCACTATCAGAAAATACAAATTCATCAATGCATTCGTGTACTGGCGTAATGTATTCGTATTTTTCATATACCCATTACCAAGGTAACAATATATTACTTTTTACTGAATGAATATGCTATACTGGTGTGCTAATTCACTAAGATACGAATACTGCAATATGCAAGTATACTGAGATATGGCCATAGTAACCCAACATATGGACATACTTGCAATTTTGAAAAATTTACGAATATAGTAAATATAATAGCATACCAGGATACTACTATACTAATATGTTAATATTCAAAGATCATAATACGCCAATATACTAATGTACTGATGCACGAACGTACGCATGTATTAATATACTAAGATCATGCAAACATACAGGTATACAAATATCTCACTGTTCGAATGCATTAATGTGTTGGTATATTAAGCTGTTAATGTACGAATCTATCAGCATACTACCATATCAGAATTAATTCTAGTATTGGTACGAATACTAGGACTTCTACGAATACTATACTGATATTAACACCAGCATTAAGACTGATTAAAACTAACATCCACATTGGCACTGGCATTAACACTAATTATCCCTAGATATGCCAGTATACGAATATACGAATACTGTAAATGCAAGTATACTGACATGTTCACATGCTACTATGCCAACACATTGATATACTTGTAAGCAATTAGGTAATATACGAGTATAGTAAATATAGTAATATGCCGCTATAACAATGTATAAGTATACTAATGCCTTCACATAGAAATATGATAATACACCAATATACTAATGCACCCATGCACCAATGTACTAATATATTCACATACTAATATACAACCATGCAAATATACTATTGTTCGAAAACATTAATAAATTGACATATTAAGCTGTTAATATTCGAATCGATCAGCATACTCACAACTCAAAACTAATCCTAATACAGATACTAATACCAGCACTCTGCGAATAATATACTGATATGAAAACCAACATTAAGACGGATACTAATATTAACGTGAGTACTAATACTGACATTGACATCGACACTAGAACGAACATAATCACTACTTCATACTTACTATTACTGATATGTATGCTTTTATTCAACACTAATACTAACACTAATACTGCGCCGGGCCGATAGTTCGACCCACTAGCCTCAACATGCTACAGCACATGAGCCTCCGCCCTCTTCCCCATAGACTCCTAACACAAGTGAGCCTTGGGGCCTCCCCCGGAACTAATAAGTATTATATTTTTAAAACGGGGTAGTAATTACTCCGCTGGCCTGCGTAGGGTAAAGTAGACTTTGAGGTACTCCGCTACTCCGCAAGAGCTTGTATGTTAGATGATGCACAAGTGGGTCGAAACTTTCGGCCCGGCGATGCCTTCCGTGACTGTTTTTTAGAGGGGGACGTCTGTCTCAAGGATCCCGGCCATGGCCTGACATGCCCTTGACCTTCAAGCAACGTGCCAAGCGGGCGCTGGTGACACTGCTTCTGGCTCTGGCTAGCGCGTATGGGGTGCAACTTTCCGTGACGCGCGAGTCGCCAGATGCGGATGTCACGAGGGCCTTCCGCCGTGTGTCCGTCAAGGTGCACCCCGACAAGGGCGGTGCACCTGCGGACGCTCAGAGGGTGAATGCGGCAAGGGATGCGTGGCATGCAGCGAATCGAGATTCCAAGCCTGCAGGTCGACCATGGCCAACCCGTCCTCAGGCACAGCAGGCAGCTCCAAGCACTGCCGTCGCAAACGGCCGCGAAGGCTTTCGGATTCGCTCCGAAGCGGTTCTGCTGACCTACCGGAGCTGGCCTGCTGCCGAGGCACCCGCTGTCTGGCAGAGGTTTTGTGCGTTTGTGGCAGCTTCGGCAACAGGGTGGACTGTGAAGCACTGGGCGGCCACGATGGAGCAGAACTCGTGCGGCGACTGCCATGTGCACCTCATGGTTCAATTCGCTGGCGCAATGGACTGTGGTTCCCGTCGCTTCCTGTTCGAGGGTGTGCGGCCCAACGTCAGCCCGAACGACTACCTCGGTGAGGGAGTCTGTCGCAAGAAGATGCAGCAGTCGATAGACCGCGGCATGTTCTATGTGTGGGCAGACAAGGTTGGCACACTACACCTGGCTTCCGGTGCTGCTTGTGTTGCAGGCAACTACGCTCCCTGCTGGACGGACGCTCTTCGCACTTACCAGGTGCTTGGCAAATGGCCAGAAACTCTTTGGAAGCAGCGCAAACTTAGCTCCGAGAAGTACGAGGAGTACCTTTTCCTCACACGTGACGGGGTTCTGGCGCGGAAGCGAAACCTGGATGCTGTGAGGGACCACGAGGCCGCCCTTGTTTTAAAACGGGGTAGTAATTACTCCGCTGGCCTGCGTAGGGTAAAGTAGACTTTGAGGTACTCCGCTACTCCGCAAGAGCTTGTATGTTAGATGATGCACAAGTGGGTCGAAACTTTCGGCCCGGCGATGTACCAATACCAAGTGTAGTACTAAACCAATACCCATCCTAATGTCAATACTATCACACAACTATTACTATTGTTGACACTGGCACAAGAGTTAGCACTACGACAAACAGTAACAACAGTACTGCGACTAGAACTAAGAACAAGATATATTAATCCTAACACTAATACTAGTACTAATACTAGTTACTATTACTAATACTCATACTAACGCCAATACTAATGCTACCACTATCAGTACTACTGCTACTACTACTGATACTATTTCTACTACTGATATGGTTACACATACTTAATAGTAACACTAATACTAATGCTCATACCAATACTAAGACCAATACTAATGCTACCACTACTACTACTACTACTATTACTACTACTATTACTACTAATACTACTACTACTACTACTACTACTACTACTACTACTACTACTACTACTACTACTACTACTACTACTACTACTACTACTACTACTACTACTACTACTACTACTACTACTACTACTACTACTACTACTACTACTACTACTACTACTACTACTACTACTACTACTACTACTACTACTACTACTACTACTACTACTACTACTACTACTACTACTACTACTACTACTACTACTACTACTACTACTACTACTACTACTACTACTACTACTACTACTACTACTTACTACTTACTACTTACTACTTACTACTTACTACTTACTACTTACTACTTACTACTTACTACTTACTACTTACTACACTTTCAAAACTAATACACATACTTAATACTGATACTAATGGTAATACTAATACGAATACTAAACCAATACTCATCCTGATATCAATGCTACCACAACACTAATACTTATGTTAATAGTGATACTAGCTACGAGCGGAACCGAGATTAAGATTAGGACTAGGGGGGTTGCATGCATGTGTAGAAATTCCCAAAAATTACCAACCATATGAAAGAACATTTTGGAAATGAGTTTGGCAAAAGTGATTGTCGCCTCTCCGTTGACAGATCCTGCCTGGGGACGGACACCACCCTTCCCCTTCCCCACGACGGTCTGTCATGGGGGGGGGGGGGGGGGGGGGGGGGGTGAGCACATATATATACATATGTATATATATATATATATGTATGTAATTATGGAGTCATGTATGTATGTATACAGATATATAGATATTGCGTATACATACACGTAACTATACTGTTGTGTGTGTGTACACATACACACGCATATGCCAACACATGTATTCATGCGTGCTGCGTGCGTGTAGCATATTTGCATGTATGTATGTATGTATGTATGTAGCAATGCAATGTAACGTTTTTCATATATGTATGCAATATATGTAATGTAGGAATTGTACCTATGTATGCGTGCATGTATGTACATATATGTTTGTATGTATGTACTAACGTTGTGTCATGTAGGTAATGTATGCAGTGTATGTAGCTTAAGTATGAATGTATGTGTGCATGGATGCATGTATGTGCAGTAGTATATGTACATATGCATGTATGTATCTATTCATCTATGCACGTGTGTGTATGTGTATGTGTGTGTATGTGTGTGTATGTGTGTGTATGTGTGTGTGTGTGTGCGTGCGTCTGTGTATGTGTATGTGTGCGTGTGTCTGTGTGTATGTTCATGTGTTATGTATGTATGCGGGCATGTATGTGTTTATGCATATATGTATGTGTGTATGTATGTATGTATGTATGTATGTAGATTTGCATGCATGTGTGCATACATGTCCGTATCTATGCTTGTATGTATGATGTATGTATGTACGTACATCAATGTGTGTGCATGTATGTATGTACTTACATGCGTACGAACGTAAGCAGGTATGTACGTATGCATGTGTATGTACATATGTATGTATGCATGCATACAATAGAGTAGACTTCGTTTTGGGCAGGCGAGTCTGGCGTGTAGCAGAACTGAAATCAGCAGGCCTAGGCTTAGCGAATGGGTAGGTTTAGCATCTTACTGGTGCCGGGCGGGCCTTGGACGGTAGCTGGTGCCATCAGCCAAAGCTTGTCGTTGGGGAGACCATGACTTGTGGACATCGAGATCTTAAAGGAAGGCGACAGGGTCTATCCTTCATGAGCACACGCCCTTATCCATGAGCCCTACTTTCGTGCATAGTGGAAGTAGCTCAGATTGGCCAGCAGCGAGCCTTGCAAAGTGGCCGTTCATTCGCTAGCCGCTAGGGGATCAAGGGATGGGATTGGGGATGCTGCACAATGCTGCACAGAGCACGAACGCAGATAAGAGAAGCTCAGCTTCACGGAGTAACCCCAGTCCGGTGATGCATTTCGTAGACTCCAAATCACTCTTTGAAGTGACGTTTGCTCTGCAATCCCCACGGAAGACACATTGCACCTGTCCAGTCGCTCTTGAAGCTGCAAGACACCCCGAAGGATGATCTCAACAGTAGCGAAGCAACAAGAAGTAGTTACACGAACACCAAATTCATCAAGACCACTGTGCCCTAATCTCAGGTCGGCCCGCGTCTAAGGGCTATGGAGTGGACTTGTGCAAGCTGCTCCGTTCACGCGGTCTGAGTGCCACCCATAAAACGTCCAGGTCCCTTGGCAGAAGTTTGACGACTTCAGGTTTTTCTGAGCCGCCTTGGGTGCTGCTTCAATCTTAAAGGTTTTGTGTCCTTGTGTGAGCAAATGGGGAGCTAAGGCTAAGGCTTAGGCCATCGAGGCTTCGTTGAGTCTGTTTGGGCGATCAGCGACGCGAATACCCCCAGCAGCAACGAGTATACTCATACGTTAGAGCATAAGACAGACAAAACTCTTCGGACTACATCAGGATGGACCCATGGGGCTTCTTGGCTTGGGAGCACTCTCGAACATATTCCCGAGCTGAGGAACGAGACCGCGCTCTTCGAGGCGGTCCGTGCCGAGAGCCTCGCACAGCTAGTTCCACATGCATGGAGGCCAAAACGGGGGCCAATTGAGTTTCATTGGAGCACAATAGACCTGAATCCGCAAGGCCGCAAGGTTCGGACGGTCAGGGTGCCAGAAGACAACATCGCAAACATTAACTGCACAAGAACGCCCTCACTGCGCAATCTAAAGCTGCAGCCATCTGAGGAACCTCGAAACCGCCACGTGGTTCATCGAGAACGGCTGCGATGTCAACGCAGTGAATCTCAGTCTTTGCTATACCAGGGGTGTCACTTCGGTTTTGCAACTGAGACAATCAAGCAAGAGGTTGCTGCGTGCCTTGGGCTTGAGATTCAGAAAGTTGGTCTGTGGCTATTAGGGATGCATGCTTTCTGATGAGCAGTCTTTACGGTTCGTTAGATTCGCAGGCTTGCACTTTGGAGTTTAGCCTGGGGTTTCGACTTCGTGTTTTCGATCCTCAGAGTCGGTTCAGCATTTCTGATACTTCATCATCTTCATCTCCATAGCAACTGTGTCGGTAGTGAAACCGTGACTAGTCATGCTTGCCACGAATTGCGGCATGGATCGTCATGGTGGAAACCCACGACGGCTGGATGGTCATTATCGTCACTGGTATATCGTCATCACAGCAGCATTATGGTGGGTCTTGGAGCGCTTACAGTACCATTCCACTGTATAGGAGGTTCTGGGCTGTGGGTTGACGCCGAGTAGAAGTAGTCTAAGTAGTCGTTAGTCACAGTGAAGGCCCAGAGGTGCTCAAACTCGAGTCCTGAGTGTTGCCTGCAAGGAACACGAGCGGGACGACGCCGTTGTGCATTGCCTTCTATGAGTCCCAGCTAGAGATGGTTTACCTACTTCTAAGCCACTTGGCAGCCGTGTTTTCGCAAGGCATTGTTGGGCCGTCGGGTGAAGCATCTATGCGGTACCTGAGCGCAAAAGACACAAACCTCGATGCTCCTGCTGGTTCAAGTCACTGTGATGGAAGCTTACTGATCCAACAATACTTACCCCTGAAGCCCTAAATATTCGAAAGTCTGCAACATAAGAACCACCATCACGCCATGAATGTAAAGACACTGGGTCAAGAGGTTTCTGCTTTCCAACTCTTCGTGTTGCTAAGAGCGCCATGGATTCTGAGCCCATGGCCTACCTGCTGCCCTTAAGGTACGCTAGGTACCGTAGCATAATAAGGCATAAGGAGACCACGGCTTGCTGCAACACAACCAGCAAAAGCAAAGAGCCGTGAACCTATGGATGTGTGAGTGTTGCAAGTTAATAACTGCAGGTTATGCATGTTCGCGCATGACCTCCGGGCAGGAAACGACCAGTGAGTTAGAACATTTGCGGTTCACAGGACTCGTACACCACTCAGTCGCGACACAACTTGCACAGAGTCAGAGTAAGGCAAGGCAATAAGGACAGGAACAGTGCTGCATGGACGCGCGCATGGTCGCGCTCGATGGACTGAGGCCACGGAGCAAATCTGGACTACCAGGAGAGCTTTCTCGTTCGGTTACAGTTCTGCTAACACTCCAGGGTCCAGGCTTGGACCTGAGGCAGAATTATTTCGGAGGCCTGAGGAAGTCGGATTCGGGATGGTGTAGAGCTGGTCTTCTCTCGCTGTGATTCAAGGGAAAGTGGAAGCATGCACGAGATCAGATGGCCGCTGAGTTGGGTGTTCCGGCTAGATGATGAACACCGTCAAGTCCCAAAACCCCTGGATAGGGCTGCGTTTTGGCGGACCAAGAAGCCTCTGTCGGATTTGGGCAGATTCTTGGGCAGTTGGGTGCTTTCGAGCGCTTTGGCTACAGCATAGCTTCGACGGCGGTTCTTGAACCTAAACTCCCAGGACTGAGCTTTGTTAAGCCAAGGCCTGGATGCAGGGGTGGGCGCGCGGAAAAGCGCCCAGCGGAGTGATGTAGGGTGGCTCGGTTAAACCCTTTATGACGTTAGCCAGGACACCAAAGGCCGCCGGCCGGTTCTCTATGCAGATCCCATCTTCAGGCAGCCCGGCTCGGGATTCAAGTTCAGAGCTTGTGGTTGCGGTGCTTGAGCTTCAGGATTAATTAGCAGGCTGGATCAAGGCTTAGACGTGAGATCAAGTCTTAGCTGCGGACTAGCCCAAGCCCGTCACTCGGTAACTCAGGGCTTCGTGCTTGAAGGCCGCTACCTGAGCTCTTGAAATCCTGCATCGTCAAGGTCCAACTTAAGCTTCAGGAAACAATCTACACGTCGTAGCCAGACTTGTGCCAAAGAGCAGAAAGAACGGACAGACCTGTAGGACCAAACAGAGCAGGTAGGTTTAGGGGTAATGGCAGCGCCACAAGCCCCAAGACCTCGAGTCCCTAGGCGGAGCGCGTTGACCCATCTCTCATTAGGTCTTGTAGGAGCAGACGCTCCAGTCTCAAATTGCACAAAATACCAGCACAAGAAGCGCCCGAGCGAGGATCCCAACAAGTCTGCCAAGGCAGGCGTTTTACGCAGCGCAGGCACGAGGTGGCATCGCAATTCCGGCAACAAAGTCCCCGCACAGAAACTGGGACTTGAACCCGTGGTTTTTGATTTGGGTTCGGTTCAAGATTCGATCGGTTGGGGTTGGATACGTAACATGTTGTGATGTTCCATACCGTATCCGGACTTGGGTAGGACTGAGAGCCCGATTCGCGAACACGACTGAGGGCTCGAAATCGAGAGTTAAAGCTTTCGGTGCCTACTTTCCGTTCTGGGGTTTCAAGTCTTTGGGCTTGCATTGTACCCTTCTGAGATTCTGGTTGTGCGAGCCATTTACATCAGTTTGGTTCTGCAGTCAAGGTTGCAATGTGGAACCTGCGCAACGGTTGCTGCCCCTGTACACAGCTGATCCAAGTCCTTCAACACCCAAGGCGGAACTAACCAGGAACACCCGCTGCAGACATAAACCCTCGCGAGGCCGCGAAACTTCTGCAAACTAGGCTCACACGTGCGAAGTATTCACTTGCAAGACAGAGCCGAAAAAAACTTGAGAGGTGCGTCTGATCACAACCAGTCCACAGTAATCGGTGATTCATATCTTCCCCAAAGTTAGTGAGTTAGTGGCATTCACGATTTGCATTTTTATGGAATGTTGTAGGCCGGCCTTTCTCTCCGGAACCGAGGTCGCAAGCGCTTGCGATCGGACCGGGAACCAGACCCCATCTATAAACGTTTCAAAGGACTGGGCTTTGCTGTTCTTGACGTTCGTTCTTGCTTGTTGAAATTGGGCTCGAGGGGTTGCGAAGATCTTCAGAGACGGAACTCGTAACAATGGTCTACCTTCAGGTCGGTAAAAGGTTCAGTGAGTGACGGGGTCTCTGTGCTGAATGGGGTTCTAGGCAGGGCTCTTTGAGCAGGAGCCTGAGAGCCCGAACCCCCAAATCCCAAGTTTACTCCGTCTATGGGAAGTCACGAGTGACAACCCAACATTCGCAGGATGTGACACCCCTAGCTCGGATGTCCGCAGCCCTGAGCCAGAACTGGCATGAATTGTCACAAAATCGGAAGCAGACAGCTGAACCCCCAAAGCCCGTCTGTCGGATCAGCCCGTTTTGAACTCGCAGCCGGCAAACCCTGAAGCGAAAAGCACTTTGTGCGAGATCCTGAAGCATCATGGAACAGGTCTGGGCTCGGAGAAGTGCAAGGGCGATTATTACTTGCGGTATTGGGTCTATCCAGACGAGCCGCACCTCGGCCAAAGTCTGGGATGTGCTGATGGCCGTCTTGGTGGGCGTAACAGTAGTAGCCGATGCCATGGAGCAGAACCAGTAGGCGTCGTCGTCGTTCCACCGCCTCCATCGCTACAGTCGCTACTGACTATACTAACTGTACCGTCAGTGTCATCAGCACTTTCTATCATCCACATCACCATCAGTATCACCGCCACCTGGAGTATGGTGCTCGTTTGAGTGGAGTAGGTCGTTGGGTCATGGCTGTGGGTCTCGAGGTTGCGGAACTGCGGATGTTGTTGTGGCTCCTGATGAGGAGAGGAGAAAGCTTGAGGATTCGGGTCCTGCCCGGAGGACACAGATACTGAGCCACCATGAGCCCATCAGCTTATCTGAGGCTGCGACGAAAGCCACAACAAGTCTTCAAACTCAGCCCGCCTCCAAACTCGCGATGCTAAACCGAACAGATTCCAGTCTCGCTTCCCAGACCTTCGAATTTGCTTGACCACGGACAATCGACCCCATGGGGTTGCCAAGGCCGAAAACGGTAAGAGGCCCCGCTTAGGCAGGAAACTTCAGGATCTCAATTTGGGCCCTTTAGTTGCTTTGGCATCATGGTCGAGGCCGCGAAGCACCAGAAACCCTTGCGGACATGGTGTTTGGGGAATCACGAAGTTGGGTTTCCAGTCTGTTGGATTTGGCAAGCGCCGCCTAATTTGATCAGACACGTGCTTGTCAAGGCATGGTGATGCCGGGAAGATCTTTCCAAGTCAGGGCAAGATCTACTCTGCCAAGAACGGCTTCATGGTCCAGGCTACTTGGCCGCACCGCAGTGGTGTCTAGTCTGGAACTTCGGCAATTTCGGCGTTTTGGTGAAACCGGATTTTGGCTGTAAGGTACATTGTAGGGTTTCCATGGATACTTGCAAGGGGTTCTTATCGTGTCTTGGCGGCTTGCATCTTCGGCTTGCATGAGACCTATGGAAAAGGCAGTACTGGTGGTACTTACTATACTACTTGTCGCGATAGCTTTGGGACCACCCGGCCCCGACCCTGGCGATATCTTCTGTTCCTCGAATCAAGACGGGTGTGAGTCACAACGTCTGAACTCTACACTGACACCACAGACCCTCATCATCCGAAACGCAGCTGTCCAGACCCAATCTACGAGCATGCTTTGCTGCCCCAGGGCCTCCAGTTGTCACCATTTAACCTACAAACCTACAGAGAAGCCACCAAGGTGCCACCCGTGACGGCAGCACCAAAAATCCGTACTTTGCAGCGCGAGCTGTGTCAGGACCTTTGTCTGGTTCAGCGAATCCCGGAGCCTCATTCTGGGCTTCTCGGGTGTCGGGTTTTGTGACTCGAAGATCTTCATTGCTGGGCTTTGAGCGTTCAGCTGCTACAAGAACACTCGCATCTTCGCGAAACAATCGCAAGTCCTGTCGATTTACAATCCAGCTGCTGCACAGTTGTATTTCTTCTGTGCAGGCATATATATATATATATAAGAGAGAGAGAGAGAGAGAGAGAGAGAGAGAGAGAGAGAGAGAGAGAGAGAGAGAGAGAGAGAGAGCGAGAGAGACATGGGTGCATAAATGATGTATGCATGTGTCGGAATATATGACTGAAGAAAATAGTATCTACAGAATTTCCTCATGAATGCACAAAACAACACATAATAATTAGGCATTTGACCCGGGCAAGTTCTGTCAATGACCAGTATAAACTTTCCAGCATGCATTGTAAGCATGGTGCTGGCCATCTTCATAACGTCCCGACCTGACCTGAGGCTTGCTGCAACTTTGTGACTGATTTCGGTTTCCATCCTGCTGTAAGTTTCTGGTGTTTGCAAGCGGCAGTGACTCCGACACGCACGGCTTGGGTTCCAGCAGGACCATTCGCAGTTCTTCCCTGAGCTCATCCTTGCGCTGCTTGGCGAAGTGGCGAGGATGTTCGTTACGTTGTGCAAGGCCTTCTGGCGTTGTGTGAGGACTCTGCGTTTCGGATGTGTGGCCATGCGCCTTACACGAGCTTGGCATTGAGGACCTGCCCTGCGGAATGGGCATCGTTCATTGGCGTCCAAGAGGAGGTGTGCGATTCTGGCTGGGTTCAGGTCAAATGCTTGCAGCAGACAATCAGATCGGTCGGGACACAGTTTCGATGCCTCTCAATGCGGCAGGTTAGACCATCAAGACACGAGCCAGCGGAAAGTTTCATATCTCTTAGCTTTTTCGTAACACGGCTAGAAAGCGCAAGCAGATTCCAATGTGTTTGTCTGACTACTCAGTGTTTGTTGCAAGGAGCTTGATGCCCAGGAGCGCTTTGTGGAGCTGCTTACAGAGCCTGGGCCTGCTGCAGTATACGACCATGATGGTGTTCGGTGAGTCGTGGAATGAGATGCAAATGAAGTGCGATACACACATCTGAAAAAGATGAAGGTAGAGGGACTGTTGAAGTTGGTGATGACCGTAGTGATTGCATGGTCTAGCTCATGCGAGTGATAGGAAGAGACAGATGACGAGAGCGAAGCGTGTGCCTTATGCCGCCACGATGCCGATGGTGGCGATGAAAACCTGTTCCCGTCACCACCATCACCATCAGCATCATCATCATCATCGTCATCGTCATCGCCATCATCAGCAATAACATCATCATCGCATCACCATCATCACCATCACTCTCATCGCCACCACGGTTATCTGACTGGTTGAGCGGCAGCAGCAGCAGCAGCAACAGCCGCCACAATCATGTCATATCAGATCAGAATGTGGTCCTTCCATCTCGAGGTCATCCCGAACCTTCAGCACCGGAAACACCATTGTCATCACCATCCGTCTTCGAAGCCATCACCTCGCCACCTGCGTGATCATAGCGACCAGACGCAGCATCACAGGCTTCGTCATTGGCAGCAGTGTCATGACCATCGCCGTCCAAGTCATCATCACGTTCGTATCACCATCATTTGATGCTCGTTTTACTTTCACTTTCAGCTTCCTCTTCAACGTCCTTCTCTTTCTCCATTTAAGGAGCAGCAGCAGCCCAATGCCTGCGAGTATGTGCCTCTCGGCCGCCGAGTCTACTGGAGTTTTCAGAATTTTTCAAAGGACAACGGATTCAGACACACTTCCCCATGCGCCGTGTGATCAATCCCGATAATTACATCACAAATTGTGAGCCTTCTTGTCCTTGAACCGCAAGCCTTGAACTTTGAAGCCCAAACCTACTAGCATACCAACATGCTGCAGCTAGGGATTGAAGGGTGTACACTGTTAAGGCAGAGGTGTGGGTCGGTGTTAAAATTCTGGGTGTTGGCTTCTTGTTGGCTGCTGCGCTGCAGTTCCAGGTCGCTGTGTCGCAAGAGCTGAAAGTGAACCGTGAACCCCCAAGCTAGCCCACAGCCTGTGAGCCGGGTCGGAAACAACCGCGGTGTGTGAGTTTAGGGCCCCAATGTAGGTCGAGACAAGGAGTTATTGTAGTTGAGCGTACAAATGGAACCTCAGCCACCAGTCTTCAATTGGGCCGTCGCAGTGGTTCTAGCCAACGTTGCGCAGGCTTGCGGGAGTGGATGCAACAACCCGCGAAATTCTCGGCTACATCCACATGCAGTATTACGAGGCTTCAGTGGGAAGTTGTGTTGCGACGCAGCCTAACCCGCTCTTCTTGTTCGTTACGGTTCAGAGTTCAGAATTCTGCCAGGCTTCGTGAGCAACAGAAGTAAAGGGTTTCCAGTCGTGGTCGTAGTGTCAAATATGCAACCTCGGACATTCGGAGTGCAGGCATATGTCTAGCAATAGTCGTGTAGGCTGTGCTTCATGGTTGCTCTGCGGCACAGGGCCGTGACGAATGCTGCATCCTTTACCACGGGCACGAGAACTCGAAACCCTATGGTGAAGTCAAACACTGTCTGGAGAGGGAGACCCAGAGTTTTGGGCTTAAGGCTTGGCTTCGGTACAGCGACTCCCTCCGAATCGATTTTTGTGGGGCGGGTCGCACTCTATGGTGGGACCTATTTCTGGGATTGCGTGAGAGTGGGGGATCGGGTAGAAACAGGTCCCGGTTCCTGGGACAGACATGAGCAGCCATGGTCGGGAGAAGCGAGGCAATGCCAGCATACTGCCCTCGGTGAGAATGGTCAAACCGCCACCATCCGCCACCCAGCAGCGTGTGTCAAAAACTCCCGGGCCCTTGTTCCAATAACCTCAAGCCCCCCCGCCCCCTACAAACCCCTCGAGGGGGCCCCGGTCTCGGAGGTTCGGGGAAAGGGCAGGGCATAACGCTTCAATTTCCTTGATCTGCGGATATCTTTCGGTTCCAAGGATCGCCAAAGACGCTACACTTTGATTGCGAGTAGGAGGTCCCACTCCCCAAATCCAAAGCCTTACATAGAGATCCTGGATCTCGGTACTTACCCGTACTTGGATTCGGCTTGCTGCAGGCGCAACAAACGATCGAGATTGCTTACATCAAGGCCTGGCTTGGTGTCCTTGACCTGGTCCTCTCCAGGGTCTTGAAGTCTTTTTGGGAAAGGGAAGGGCTAGGAGGCCCGCTGAGTTCCCACTTTTTGTGCACCTGGAGCACCTGCCAACTCTCAGTCCAGGCGACTGTACGAGCTTTGGGTCGAGCCCGCAGAATTCAGCAGAGTACATCCTCCCACGCCCCGACACCAACCCGCAGGAATCCAAGCTTGGCCGCAATGATGGCGGCAATCATTACATAAGACGCTTAGCCCGAAAGCCTCGAATCACCAGCTGAACTCCATCTGCATCCCAAATGGTAAGCTATGCCACAGCGCGCCTTCCAATCCTGCCGGCAAGATTGCGAGAACGGGCAAGAGCAGAAGAGCAGAAACATTGTAAATCTCATTGGTGCAAGAAACGTAAGAGTAGCATAAGTAATCAGCCTCAGCTGAGCCTAGGGCCTAAGCGGGCGGGGACGGGACCTTCGGAAGGTCCAGAACAGCCACCGCGGTCTTGGCCTCGGCAAGCAGTTGGTGGATTCGTCCATTCAGGCAGGACGGGACGGGATGAAGCGTGAAGGGCGCATCGTACAGTGCAAACGCTACGGCGTGTGATGTATGATGACTGGGCTTTGCAGGATCTACTTGGACTTGAGGTATTAGCGCATGTGGGTCACGGCTTGAAGGCTCTGTGAGTTTAGGATAGGCATTCAGACGGTTCGAACAATTCAGAAGATTTCCATCTCAGGCTGGGGCTGACCGTCCATCTGCAAAGTGTCAGGCTTAGGGTGGTGGACCTTTCAGGTGTAGAGTTGAGTTTAGATATTGCTGATGCAAGCAGCCTTAAGCCAGAGTTTTGGGGGCACAAGATTGGCCCCGTCGAGTCGCGGAACCCTCATCCCCAAGCCAGCAGTAAGTGAGAGCATCAGTATAAGTTTAAGAACATGAGCATCGAAAGCAGCAGTAAAAGAAGGAATGCTGAGACAACAGCCATAATCTTCTATCCCGAATACTATAGCAAGTGTAGTGGCGTAGAAATTGAGTACTGGTCCCCTCGAAACCTTCTGACGAAACTCCAACACCCTGCAGCACTCAGCCCTGCACCTTCGGCTGTTCTCTGCACTGGCCTAACCGGAGGCATCGCTGGATCGCGGGTGGAAGTTCTCCCAAATCCGCCTCACTGTTGCCAGTTGGCAGGGCCCGGCTTCAGGTTTAGCTTGAAGCACTGAATGCTCTAGGTTTCAGGATGTGGCATTAAGATGAATTGTCTGTGGGCGGCTTTACACGGTGAAGGCCGATTGGTCTCAGCTTGGCTTGTGGCTACCAGTTTTTCTGTCCAAGTTCATACAGAAAACACTTGGCACACGAATCACCAGACTCGTAAGCAGCAGCTTGCCCAACCATGGGCCGGCAACAAGAACAAGAAAAATGGTAACAAATCCAAGTGCCGCGAGTGTAGTATTGGCCATGTTGACACTGCGCCAATGATGTTTGTGACAATTATGCTGCCGCTGGAGGTGGTGGTGTGGTGCAGGGTGGCATCGGTGCGGGCGGTGATGGTGACGATGCAGCTATTGATGATGCTGATGATGATGATGCTGACGTTGATGATGACGATGATGACGAGCCGTACTGAAGACGACGAGGAAGCCATAGTCAAGACTGACATGGTCATGACGGTTGCATCAATGTTGATCTTGATGGAGATGCAGAACACTATAGTGAAGTTGAATGCAAACACATATATAGCCCGTACATATATATATATGTACTTGTAGCACCGATGATGCAGATGGCGTGGGTGATGGTGTTGGTGTGGTGCACGGGATTGTGATTGCACTTCAGTTACGATGTTGGTGGTGATGGCTGGTTTGACGAAGGGGTCAGGCGGACAAAATGAGAACTTCGGAGCAGGGCTCTGAAGCGACAGAGCTACAGAAAACTGTCCTGGTGGACTTCAAGAACTGGTTCTTGTTTTTCCGTCGCGTGACATGTATGTGGCAGCGTCTCTCAGGTTAACATGCGGAACACGCCTGCGATCAAGTGCCTCTGGCTTTAGCAAAGCAGGTTCTTGTCAAGACTGTCCGCTTGAAACGGAACCTTGGTAGAGCGCGCCAGCATTCTGTAGGGGTTCCTTCATGGTTAATTCGTACTCGGTGAACCTAAGGAGGAAGCTCAAGATCTGCATCGAACTCGTGAAGTTCAGATTAGTTAGGTCCGTAGGTTTGTGCTGCGGTTTGCAGAAGGGTTGTAAGCAGGGGCGCAAGGGCATACAAACAGCTTTACTTGGAGCCTGAGTACATACATGCTTCAGCAGCCCGTGAATTAACATGCTCGCAGTGCTGGGACGGGGTGTTGCATCGATGGATCCGGAGCACCGGACTCCGAACAACTGTCATTCTGGCGTCCCTGGTTCGACAAGTATCAACGCGACAGCGGCAATTGCAGGAAAATGGCATTTGGAGGAGAACTGCTAAATCCACAGCTTCCTGCCCTTCTCTCAAGCACCGAAAGCGAGTTCCACGGGCATTAATGTTGACCCCTGATTAATAAACCCCCCCCCGGCCCCCCCCCCCCCCTCAAGGTTGTCAAGGTCGCAGGCCCCCCACAGGATCACAGACCCCCAAATAATCCCGTGAAGCCAAATTGCAGTAAACAGTGGTGCTAGTAGTAGTAGTCGTAGTAGCAGCAGTAGTAGCAGTGGCAGTAGCAGTAGCAGTAGCAGTAGCACCGCTTGAAAGAGGACAAGACGCCCTTTAAATGTAGTCTTGCCCCCTTTAAAAGTAGTCTTCGAAGCACTTTTTGAAATTTTAGATCCCCAGACGGTGTTGCCTTTAATCGTGGGTGGTTTTCTGCAAAGAACGATCCTTATTTGGGTGCTGCCTTTAAAGTAGTACAGATTGGGGCCGGAGCCGCCCGCAGGCCGCCTTTAATCGTAGGGGGATTATTAATCCTAGGTCAACATTACCCTCGATGGCCAGGTGGTACCGACAGCTCGGATTCAAAGATGATGGTATCGACACGCGTAAGACGAGATCCATGTGGCTTGCCTGGCAATCGTGCCGGCGATTGAACGGAGTTGAGGCTTTGTGGGTGTGTGTGCATACATGCATATACTGACAGACACGTATACATATACATACAGTGAATATCTTATATAGATACACATATGTATATGCATCTATAGGTGTGTGTGTGTATATGTATATATTTATGTCTGTCTGTATGCATGTGTGTGTATCTATGTGTATATATGTATAGGTGTGTATGTATATGTGTATATGTGTGTACGTATACGGCTATATTTGTGTGTTGATTGTTCATGTTTGTATGTTATGTTATGTCATGTATGTATGCATGTACGTGTGTACGTAGTTAGGTAGGTAGGTAGGTATGTACTGTGTGTATGTGTGTGCGTGTTTGTGAGTCTGTGAGTCTGTCTCTGTCTGTCTCCGTGTCTGTCTGCCTTTTGTCTGTCTGTATGTTTGTATGTATACATGTGTATATACGTATGTACGTATATGTATACATAATATATATATATATATGGAGTGGAATACTGTGTTATGTATATAGGTATGTAGATAAGTATGTATTTACACACGTTTGTCTGTATGTACGTACGTAGGTATGTATACATGTATGTATGTATGTATGTATGTATGTGTTCAAGTCAGTAAGTAAGTCAGAAGGTGCGTAAGTGAGTGAGCAAGTACAGTATGCATGGCCGAATTCATATATTTATATGTATGTATGTGTCTATGTGTGTATGTATACAAACACATATCTCATGGCACTTGTACCCGCATGTACATACACACGCAGATAGCGCCGTTAGCGGGGTGGGGGGGGTTCGTTCTCGTCTCGGACTATTGAGGGGGGGGGGAGTCCTTACTCCAGGAGTATTGAGGGGGGGGGGGGTCTTAATGCGGGAGTATTGAGGGGACGGGGGGGGGGTCCATACTCCAGGAGTATTGAGGGGGGGGGTGGTTCATACTTCAGGAGTATTGAGGGGGGGGGGGGTCTATTCCAAGACTATTGAGGGGGGGGGGGGACTCGTACTCTTGGGGAGGGGGGGGGGGCTCTTTGGGAATGGTTGTTGTAGTATTTTGTCGGGTGAGGAAGAAGGAGCAGGAGAAGGAGTAGTAGTAGTAGTAGTAGCAGAAGTAGTAGCAGTAGCAGTAGTAGTAGTAGTAGTAGTAGTAGTAGTAGTAGTAGTAGTAGTAGTAGTAGTAGTAGTAGTAATAGTAGTAGTAGCCTTCGTTGTTGTTCCCTCCCTCTTGAAAGAACAACAACCCCGCCTCCGCTTGTTGTTCCCCGCATTCTTGAGAAAACAACCCCCCCCCGGGTTGTCGTTCTTACCCTTCCCTTCCCCTTTTGCAAACCTGCCAAATGATTCCTGCTCAGTTGTGTTTCCTTGCTTTTCAACCCCTGAAGTGTTTGCATGTGGCTCTTTCCTTCTTGTGTTGACGAACGCTTTTTTTCCTGGCGGCTCGAAACAAGGGGGGGTTGAGCCTAAGACAAGCGGGGGGGTTGGGGGGGGGGCGCAGCCCCTCCCATTTGCAAGCCTTCCATCGTCATGATAAACTGTACTTGCTTGCTTTAGCCCCCCTAATGCGTTTGCATGTGGCTCTGTCCTTCTTGTGTTTTGGCGAACACGCTCCTACAACGCTGTTGTTGTCCTTCTTCGAACTTGACCCCCTCCTCCATATTGGAATATAACCCCCCCTCCATACTGCTGGACTATGAATCTTCCCCCTCCATACTCATGGAGTATGAACCCCCCCCTCCTGGACCATGACCGCCCCCCTCTTAATACTCCTGGAGTATGAACCCCCCCCCCCCTTGAATGATCCTGGACTACGAACCTCCCCCCTCATATTCTTTCCCCCCCCCCCCCTCCCCGCCTCTGGGGGGGGGGGGTTCAATACTCCGGAAGAACTAACCCCCCCTACCCGTGTCCTAGCGGCGCGGTCTCTACACACGTAAACACACACAGAGATGTGCTTTCCTTTGCTAGTGTCGGCACCGATATCACCGTATAATGATGGGTGCAGGCTTAGTGATGATAGCTGTTACGAGTGGCGTTGCGCATAATCTGGCAGTGAAGATTAGGGCTCCATGGACCGGGGGTGCCGGTTGGAGCAATGCGTGTTGATTCTGGTGGCGTGACCTGGCGACTTGACGACCTCTTGTGTGGCTTGGGGTTAGGTTCAGTGAATCTAACAAGCTTGAGGGCGAAGGCTCGGCATGCGCCTCCCGGCTGTGGGCAAGAACAAGCAACTGGGAACCTACAGTAGACTGATTACCACGATGGTGTTGTGATGACTGGTTCTGTTGGCGCGTTTTACTGCTTGCAATGTGGTGTCGGGCTTACAGCTTGCAGTTCATCAATGTGGTGACACAAGCCCCAGGTACCGCCAATGGATGGTCATGAAGAAGAAGCTGCCCAAAGAGACTTCGCCTTCACAGTTGTGATGGTTGCACAGTCAGCCGGAAAGCCTCGATTGTGTGCAGTTTGAGTTTTCTGTCGCAGTGGAGCACTTCCGTTCGTCCTGTGTAGCTGTGTGCTTATTGAAAGGATCTTTATTGGAGGTGTGTATTCAAGCACGTTCTGAGTGGATCCTTGCCAAGAAGGAATGTATGACTTAGGACCCAAATAAACCGACCAAGGCCGCTTCGGTGGATGAGCAGAGGGATACAGCGTGGACATTGCTATTCCCTCCCACGATAGTCACATGCAGCAAGGAGAAGCGCCCTGCGAACGCTGTGGAGGCGGAAGAGGGCACGCAGACCCGACAGCTTCAGTAGGGTCTCCTTAGGGGTCACAAGGACACCTTGCGTGTCTACTGTTTTATGTGGGGCGCCGGATGCCTTCGACTTGCAAACTGTCATCCGGCGAGGATGCCGTTCCGGCATGGTTTCACCATTCCCTGCACGGCCATGTCAGAGATTCCGCCGCTCAGGGTGTCGTAGCTATAGCAGCTATATCTTTGCTCAAACTGGCCGTCTTGCCACAACCTAGCCTGCAAGTGCTTCTCATATGATCTCATGCATGCTGGTAAATGAGGCCAGCAAAGTTGCAGAGGCAGTAGCAATGCGCCACCAGCAGCACCAGCCCCTACCTGACCCTGAATGGCCACCGACAAACAACAGCAAGCAGCGACACCATCGGAGTGACGACGACAACGACACAACAGCCACCACAGCAAGAACAGTAGAAACCACAAAAGCAGCAACTACCTTTTTAGTACCAGATGTACCGGTAACGACTGCCAATCGCGCGCTGCTGCTACTACTAGTAGCTACTGTTGTTTGCTACTACGGCGACGATGACGCCGACGACGACTGTCACCACCACCACCACCACCACCACCACCACCACCACCACGACTACTACTGCCACTTCTACCCCTTTCGAACTAGCCAACCAACCAACCGACCAACTAACCATCTAACCAACTATCCAACTGGCCGGCAGACTAACTAACTAACTAACTAACTAACTAACTAACTAGCTACCTAATTAGCTCTGTAACTCACGAACTGGGGCTGCTGATGCTGCTGCTGTTCCTGCCACTGCTACTACTGCTGCTAGTCCTAGTGCTGCTCCTCCTACAACTACTATGTTACTATGTCAACGACGACGACGATGCTGCTACTACTCGACAACCACGACTACGACTACTACCGCTTCGATTGGTATTCTACAACGACGGCTGGCTGTCATAATGTCTGTGCGGCGAGACCTGACAACTGGCCAGGTTTCCTTGCAGTGTCAATGCTGAAAAAACTCCCTTGGGTCCTCATGCGCTTGTGCTTCAGAATGTAAGGGTCGTTGTGCTTGCAGTGTTCAGTTTCTCCCTTGTCTTGTGCTCAAAGCCAAGCCTAGGACTCAGTCTGCAACACGGCATCTCATCCAAAGCGTCGATGCATAAACTAAAGTTCCAAGTCTCAAGCACCCGGATGAACGAGGAGTCACCGTCCCATTTTACGAACTTCATGTGAGCAACAGCAAAAGCAACAGCAACAATCTTCCCGCAGGTAGGAATTTACCACTCGCATGACACGACCTCTTTGATTTAGGACGACAGATCTTCGAATGCGAAACATGAAACAGTGTAACCTGGTTTATCCTGCATCTACAGCCCCATCTGGACACCTACAGCCGAAATCTTCAAGCTGTAAGCCCAGCGCCACAATCCCTACAGTACTACTTTCGCATGCCCTGCGCACCCAGTTAACCTCCGAATCCTCTGCCTAAAACACACTAATGGTTGAACCCAAGCCTTCAAGTGTTTGAATAGCAAATCACAGTCTGTGTGGGGCTTTTGTTTGGGCTTCCAGGTTTTGCGCCGAAGAGAAATGCACAGACTCCAATATGCCTCAATACGGGTGAGTTTTCATGATCCGTAAATGTCAAGGAGTGGCTGGGGTTTCGGAACGGTTTGCAGACCCAGGTTTCCAGTTTAAGTGGGTGGCGAGCTGGCAGCTCTGGTGCAACTCTATCCCACTAATGCTCGAGCTGTCCCTGATGCAAGTGTAGCCTCTTTCCAAAAGCCGAAAACACAAGGTTAGCCCATACTTATATTCGTTTGAGCTTCGCATTTCTCCGCCGAGTGACGCAGAATGCACACCAGAGCGACAGAACTCACGCAATCACCAATTCGATGAAATCTGCTAGTAACTCGTACTATCAAGCTCATCATGTTTGCGTTGTTCGTGCAAACTGCGCAATGCTGAGGGCTATGGGCAATAGTTCCGAGACTGCTCACATAATCAGCCTCTTGTTTCGAGGAGCCCCTGGCCCCCTTTTCTGTGGTGTCAGCCTCTCCTTTGCGGCAGCCCCTACTACCAGGTTGGTTTGGGGCAGGGTCGAGTTCGGGGTTCAGCTTCGGAATGTAGTTCTGTGTTTACGGTGTCCGTGTATTTCATGATTTTTAGCGTTTTGGGATGTGAAGTGTCTCTGCCCAACCCGGATTGTCAGGTTTGATTTGGAGGCTTCTACGAAGCGGCCATGCCGTGCAAAGGTGTGAGTTTAAGTCACACATGTTCTGTGATGTCAGGTTGAGTGGTCAGAGGTGTAAGATTGGAGCTAAGGCTTAGGACTGAGGACGGTGCGAGGGTTTGTCACTGTGGTATAGTCCGCTACTCGGCACAAATGACAAGTGTCAAATGTACAATCAGCTGTAGGCCTGGACTGAGTTCTTGTATCTACTCGGCGGAATCAAGCGATCAACGTCTCATCTCGCAAATACACTCAGACTGTATTTGCGAGGTCAGAAGCGTCTACGTTTGTGGCTTCAGCGTAATTAGGTTGCTGGTGTCATCTACACCTTGGTGAACTGGGGCATCTGTTGCTGTGGCAGGCCGGGCGACATCCTCGTCGTCGAAAGGGTTGGGCACCCAGCAAACCCAGTACTTCGAGTCTCCAGGATTGGATGCTGTGTAGTGATAAGCTTTAGCCCGGAAACCTCCGAAGCGCCAAGCACAGCTTCCAAAATCAAGTCGCGACCCAGGGCCGGGCTGTACATGAGTGCCATGCTTGTCGGCAGTGTAGTTTCGGCGTCGTATATTTGCCATCCCTGCAGGCGCCTCCCCGGTATTCAGCGTGTCGCCTTCGAGCAGCTGGATGAGGAGACTAGCAGCCTCCAGGCGATCAGGGCCCGTAGGGTGTCGGGCTGACAGGGTTGGAACAGTTGGAACACTTGACCATGGCGGGGTTCGAAGTTTCTGTTGTTTTGTTGCAACCTGCTGTAACCTTTGACAGCATGTCTCTAGTCTTGCAGGACATTGGCCAGCTTTCTTATTTCCCGCCGAGAGCGCTTTCCAGCTGCACTCAGCGAATGCGAGTCGCTATGCCGATTGTTCAGGTCCATGGATCAGCCGGCTCTTCCTCCAGGCGCTCTGGTTGGCACGGAGGGTCAGAGAGCCTCCTGCTTCGTGACAGAACGCACCCGTTTCGATATGCAATCTGTGGTGGCTTTGTGTGCTTTGGAGATGTTGAGCTGTTTGGATTGACAGAACATGCCGTACTTCCTTGCATATTGTTTACGCTGTTTACCGTGTAGTTGCGAGGGTCTCGGCTTTGTGGCTTTATCAGAGTTTCAGGGTTTGCAATATGTTGGAATATCTTGCACATACCAATTCGAAGCCTTGTCGTTCTCGTAGTGCGCCTGTGCAGGCAAGAAAGTGCGAGCATCACATCTGACTCCAGGCATCCGGGACTAGAAGAGAACAGCCAGAAGGCTCTATCTGGAAGAGCCATAGATCGGGCTCTGGGCAGTAGGTGCTCGGGGTGGAGGAGCAGGGGACTAAGAAACCAGTTTATGCCGTTTACGCATCGTGATATGAGGGTGGCAGTGTAGCCGTGTAGCCCCAAGTCATTGAGGTTGTGCTCAGCATTCACAGTTTGCAGAGAGGAGAAAACAGCGGTGTCCTTTCATTATTATCGAACCCACATGACCAGGACCCGAGTTTGCATACCACGCCTTGCCACGTGCTACCGCGGGTCGACACTGATTCGAATTTTGCATGCACCGCTTGCGGACCACTTCCGAAATTGGGGTCTCCAGGTTTGGAGGTCAGGAAGCCTGATTTGCCTCGGCATGTCCAGTGACATGTTGTCATATGTTGTCCTTATCAAGCAGACTCACGTGTTGAGCCACTGCCCCTAGAGGCTGGGGTTTATCCAAGCTTCAGAATCAGTTCATGAAAGTGTTCAAGACCTCTCAGGAATTGTAATTCGGCACGGTAATTATCAGGGTTACGACCAAGCAGGCGGAGATAGTAGTATACAGCCCAACACACGTCCTTGCTCCAAGGGCGGCGCGGAAGGCCACGCGCGATGTCGCTGCAAGGGATTCGGTTTGAGTGGTTGATCTTGTGGGTCGCGTGAGACAGTTTAGTGAAGGCCAGAGATTAGCCACCCGCTTTGCTCATCATTTCCTCATCATTGCTCTGTTTCTAGTTGTAATTTTGAGTATGATGCCTGTTTTAATTTTCCGGCTACTGGGCAACCGCTGTGCTTTCCAATGTCGCAGCAGCGGAAGCGGGATCTCTTTGGGGTCTTGTTGTTTCTGGTCTTGGCCTCAGCTTGCCACAGGCTGCGAAGATTCCTGCTTGTGATTGCGTTTTTTTGAAGGTTGCAGGGCAGCGAAATGCTTCCGGACTCTGACGAAGCTACAAATACGTTTGTCGATTGCCACAGAGCACATTCCTTGTGTGCAAAATGGCAACTGTCGTTGTTCGTGTCTCCGTCAGGGTCAGCTGGAGAAGAGCAAGCACGGCGGGAAAGTCTTCACCCTGAATGCCGAGGACATGAGAAGGCAAGCCCACCAGTTGTCCTGTTTGTCGAACAACAAATTCCCTGCCAGGATTCTTTCCACCTGGGTCGGCTTTGGGGGAAGTCAGAGATGCGCATACGAGTCATGTTACGTAAGGGTCAGCATGAAACAAGAAAGCTGCGCACCACGTCTCTAATCTCTCAGCTTAATCGAGAGCCCGCAAAGGCGGCTGCGCGAATGTTTCAAGCGAGAATCTGTGCAGAGCGAGGACTGCGCGAGTTTCAGCGTTTAGTGAGTTGGGGGTTTCGGACATACCTTTTGGCAGATCCACGTGGGAAGGAGAAGACCTGGACTTGGCATAGACTCCTAGACCGGAATCCGGAATAGACAGAACCCTGCATCCGAGGCCTTCATCTTGAATCAAAGACCTCAAAGCCGAACTCTTCCACCAAATCTTAGCATCCCATCCAGGGATAACAGGGCTCCAGGACTTCAGGTTTTCAGCAGAACTGGCCTCGGAATCCTGCCCGGAAGTTATGGGAGCAGGACATTCGCTTCTGGTCGTTCAAGGTTCGGGGAATGCACAACGTCTCGTGGGCGTATAATCCGTCATAACCCCAGACTTCAGAGGAGAACATTCCCGTTGGCATTTGCGGCCGCATCGCCCGTCTGCACCTGAGGGCAGCAGAGCAGAGCCCATAGGAGTTGACTCCCTGTATCGCTTGCGTAAATAGGATCCATGTCGAATGATATTAATGGCCGACGGAAGGTAGTATTCTACCCGGGATATGGGTGATTGCCTTTGTGAATTGGCGGTAAGTTCTATCTATGTAGACCGTTCTGTGAGAAGCGATCTGCAGAGTGCCGCATTTATGCAACGGAACTTCAGCGAACAAGGCAGCAACTTCTTCAACTCCTTCGTGCTGGTGCAGCTCTCAGATTTTGCTTCAGGGGACCTTGTTTCAAGGGCAGGGTTCAAAATTGGAAGGAAACTGATACTTTCGCTTTATAGATGCTGGATGTTAAGAAGAAGGGTTGCTCAGTACACTCTGTGGAGTTACAATACAGGACCGTTGGGAGGTAAGAGAATCGGATACTGTGCCGGAAGCCGCGCCGGCCGGCAGGTTCACCGACCAAGCCAGATTCATTGTACGCTGCAGTCTGTCTAGTTTTTCCCAGTCTGGTAGTTGCCTGGTATTTTCTGGGTTGTGGTCCTGGTGCACCTGTGTTGAAGTTTCGCGTCGCTGGCTCCGCGGTTACAGGCCAACACCCGTGAAAGACCCAGCGTTCAAGGCTTGGCAGTTTTCTTCTTGAGCGGTATCGTTTTGCTAAGCGTGTGGGCCGCAGCTGCGTCTCTGTCACATTCCGTACCCTGAAGCACGTAAACTCTGCAGTCTGATACATTGCACACGAGACGCACAGCCAAACCCGATGCGAAGAACTAAATCCCGAGACCGTTAACCAAAACTCTAACTAAAGCCGTGAAGATTCAACTCTAACTAAAGCCGTGAAGGTTCAAATCCTGAACACAAGCCCTTCCGAACCCCCAAAAATTGCTGCAGGTCATCATCATCCTGAACTCACTATGGTGACGCGGTTGCGGTCCGATTTGCCTGCCACACTTTCCGACCATTCATGCATGGATGGATGGATGGATGGATGGATGGATGGATGCATGGATGCATGGATGCATGGATGCATGGATGCATGGATGCATGGATGTACGTATGTGTGTATGTGCATAAGCACGATTGTATGGATGTACGAGGGTATGTTATGTATTTATGTACGTATGTATGCATGCATGCATGTATGTGTTTGAAATTCCGAAAGTAAAACTGTCTGCACATATGTATGCATATGTGTATGTACGTATCTGCACGTGCACTTGTGTATGCGTTTGCATGCATGCATCTATGTATTCATGAAGGCATGGGGTTCGATTTGACTGTATGTACGTGCGATCCAAAAATACATATTCTGCATGCAAAGATGTGTAAGGATGCAGACTACAGACATTCATACATCCATCCACAGATATATGTATATATATATATATATATATACATATATATATACCCACATATTATGTATATGTGTGTATATATATATATATATGTTGTACATATGCATGACCTGTATATATGAACACATGTAAACACGTAAGCACATGGCATGTGTGTGCTTCTATATATATACACACATGTATACATATCTCTAACACACACACATGCCTCACGTGCCTACATCTTTGCATATATACTTCTGTGCGTAGATACATACAAATATGTAAAGAAACACATACATATGTACATACATTCAAGAACCACGAAAGCATACACCAACGAACCTTTGGGTGGGATATCCCTAACTTTTGCCTTGTTTAAGCGGGATTATGAGGCATCCGAATGTTATGGTTCCTGCCTGGGTGCTGTTTTTGAGTCCCTACACATCTGTATATAAATGTGAGTATGTATATACATGTTTATATACACACACATACGTACCCATACTTACATGCACACAACCCGCACACACACACACATATATATATATATAATATATATAGACACATACCCACATGCATAGACAGTTTGATAGACAGTGTTAGATAGAATGATCGGCCGGTAGACAGATGTTAGGATGGAACAGATAGAAAGACAGATAGATAGACGGGTCGGTATGAACGGTTCCAATCCCGACTGAAAGCTGGGCTGCATAACACCTTATTGAGTTGAGTGCAGGACTCAGTGCCTTGAAGCTGTAGGAGCCCTAGAGCTTCGTATGTCGGACTCGGCAGGCTGCCTTTGGTGGAAGTCAAGCCCGTAAGAACCTAGACTTCAGACTGGGTTGGGATGATGGCAGTGACGCTGTGACACTACCTACAATAAGAAACTTAGATGAAGAAACTGACCTTGTAAACGAATGTGCAGTCCCGCTTCAGCTGGCACCCATCCAGAGAACAAGAACTGAGGATTGCGGTGGACACGGACTTGAACAAGTCGAAGTCTGTGTGGGAGGCACCTTATGTCTTTCTGCTTCCTGCTGCAATTGGCCTGACCCGATCCAAAGCGTGAGCAAAATCATGCAGTGCAACAACGACAGGCGAGTGCGAAAGCAGCTTAGATGTCAAATGTATCTGAGGGGCATTCTCTGGGTGTAGAATCGGGAAGTTGAGTCTTGAATCGCGGATTCATGCGATGCACAGGCTTCCCGATGCAGCGCTTCTAGGTGAATATGGCCAGCTGTGTAGCCGGCGAAGCTGAGGCTTGCCGAAAACTTCTTCTGCTTCGTTTTCACCATGGAGCTTGTCATCCGCTTGGGTTCTTTTCAAACCGCTGCGCAAGCTTGCGAACCTTCGGCTGCCTCCGACAGTACAGGGAGCTTTAGAGTTTCCGGTGCGATGTCCCACAGGCCGCATCCTCTAGAGTGCTTTCAGTTCCCTACCATTTCTAGCGTGTCTTTCCCGCACCATGGATGACACTGCTTGGCAGGAACTCTTCGTAGGATGTCCTCTGATGCAGGTTTTCGGGGCATATACGCAAAGGTTTCTTGTCGGTGAGTAAGGCTGCAGACTCGATAACTCTAGCGCAACATGCTCGTTCGCAGAGCCTCAAATCTCAACTGTCTTAGGGATTTCTTGAGTGCCAACATAGAACGCAGCTCGTAGAATTGGTGAGCAATGATAGCAGTGGTAGCAGCAGCTCAAAGAGAAGGCTGGGCAGAAGCAGTAATGGTAGTAGTCGTCGTCAGTCTTAGGAGCAGAGTAGTGGCAGTAGTAGTAGTAGTCGTCGTCGTCGTCGTGGTAGTGGTAGTGGTAGTGGTAGTGGTAGTGGTAGTGGTAGTGGTAGTGGTAGTGGTAGTGGTAGTGGTAGCAGTAGTAAAAGCAGCAGCAGCAGACGCCGCCGCCGCCGCCGCAGCCGCCGCCGCCGCCGCGGCCGCCGCCGCGCCGCCGCAGCCGCCGCAGCCGCCGCCGCAGCGGCGGCAGCAGCCGCCGCAGCAGCCGCAGCAGCAGCCGCAGCCGCAGCCGCAGCAGCAGCAGCAGCAGCAGCAGTGGTGGCAGTGTGTAGGGCAGTACAGTTGCAGTGCAGAAGAGAAGGTGTAGGGGGAGAAGATTTATGGCTTTTTGGTAGACCGTCTTGCTCCAGGAAGGCTGGTTTCTTTTTGATTCGTCCCTGACCATCATGATGATTTGGGATACCTGGTCCCTCGGCAAGCATGTTTCTTCCGGATCCGGCGGGGTTCAGTTTTTCGGGGAGAGCGGGGAGAAGAGAGTTGAATCTGGCCCGGCCTCGACGGCTCCCAAACATCGGCTTACTCCCTGTCAGTTCAGAGGCAGCAGAAGCTTCCACTGCGACTAGAGTTACTAGGTACAAGACCATCAAAAGACCCCAACAGACCACCAGGACACAACCAAACTGCTTTCCCCCGGGTACCGGCGGGATTCAGGAGCACTGCCAAAGTGCCTTCTCTCATCTCGAGCACAAGTAGTGGCAGTTTCAGGACCATGGCCAAAATGCCTTCCCCAAGTGCTCCTGTGTTCGCCATGTACTGGCCGGATTCAGAAAGACACCCAAAAACCCCTCTTCAAAGTACTGCTGCGATTCATGATTTTCGAGACCAAAAACTGGCCCGTATGTCTAAAATTTTATAACGATTCTGGCGCTCCGGGACACGTGGCCGGACGGAGCATGGATCCTCTGTAGATAGCAGGACGCAGATGCAAAATGTCACCGCGCCACAGCGAGAGTGACATCCCGGCCAGAGTGTCTCAGCAGACACGCACTATTCGGACATGCTAACCACGTCTCTTTGCATCCAACGTTAGAATTCCATTGTGTGCACCACGCTGTTGGGGAGCAAGTTCCAAAACCTGGAACAAGAAGCGAACAACAATTTTCGGATGAGCTTTCAGAATCAGTTCACGAGAGTTCAGTATATGCCATGTATACTACGAAGAAATCGCTAATTGCCGCCAATTATAGTCAGTCCTCCACTACTAGGCCTTTCCCAGTCTCCTTTGCTCCTAGGGTGTCGTTCCTCGTCGAGAAGATCTCTGGGCACAACGTAATCGGCGCGCAGGCCATGGGTTCGCACTTTTCCGGATTCGGCTGCATAGAGCTGCAGGGGTGTAATGGAACAAAGCTTCGTTTTTGAAGTTTGAACAGGTGGGTCTCCGAGCTCTAATTTCGACGGGCTGCTTTTCAGTGACATTGTGCTTCCTTCGCGATTTCTGTCCGTTCCGAGTTGGAAACGCCTGCATGTGGTTTAGGGTGTTGGATTTGTCTTAGGCTTTGCTTGAAATCTTGCTTTCTCAAGCCTATCGGCTCCAATTGCTAAAGCATTGTTGCAGTCTTGTGATTTGCAAGGGCCGGGCGTCAGTCTGCAAGTTTGCTTCACCGATAAGCTACAAGTGACTGCGGTTTAGTTTGAATGCACCTACCGGGCCGTGGTCCTCGTACGACAAAAATGTTTACGCAGCCCAGCCCCGAAAAAGGACATGTCAGTATCGTTGAAACGCAGGGCTTCTTGCCTTTGAGTTTGATAGCTCCGTTTCGCTGTGCTCCTTCCCCAACTCATGCCTTTCCCGCAGCCGTGCGAGTATAGTTGGCCCAGAAAGCACACGAAGCCTCAAGCTCAGCTGGGTGCCCGCTGCAGCCGCGAGACGTCCGGGTAGAGGAGAACTCAGAGTTCTCAGCCCCCGTCAGAGACTGGGTCGTTTGGCCTTCCTCCTCAACTCGGAATCGTAATTATGATCCGCAAATCCGACCCTGTCCGCTGTGACAGGTTCGGAGCTTCACGATCTTGCGGGTGCTGCGCATCCTGAGGTCGGCGAGGGTTGGCCCCAGATCTCAAACCGCAAGACGCGAGCCTGCTATCTGCCGGCAAACTCGCATGCCTGCATCGCATCGCGTCGCATACAGACATACATGCACATTTTCTTTTCGGACGTCAGTCCTTCTGCGCACCCACACTGCAGAACAATTGTATTGGCCCCTCGGTCGGTAGAAGTTCGGCAGTTCGTGTGCTTTGGGCATGTTCGCGGAGTGTCTGAATGGAGTCAGACTGTTGAAGACACATAGGACTGCGTTCGCACAGGGTCTCATGTCCGACGGTGGGGTCTGCGGTTCGCAGTCCTCATACTTCATAACGCTGGCTAGATAGTGGCCCCCAATCATGGATTGCTAGGTTTCTTGATTCCCTAATGCTGAAACAGCTGGACCTCAAACTCAATCGGCGCCTGACACCGAAACAGCCACAGGATAGCCCGAGTGGCACGGGCTGCACGGATTATCAATTCCCTTCCCGAGCTGCGTGTTCTGGTGAAGGGCATGGTGACCCTGGGCAAAACAGCAACTACATTTACGACATTTCGAAGATTTGAATTGTGGGAACTACCTTCCTCGTTTCTTTGTGTCGGGCGCAGCAAGGTGCGAAAGCAGTATGTGCCATGCGGGTCTCACGATTCGAAACATGTTCTCTGTCGTACTTTCGGTGTGATTTCGGAGAGCCCTTCCAAGAAGAAGATCCGAAAACAAAGCACAGGGACTCATTGAAGCTGAGGCCCTGATTCGCAGACTCTGCGCACCAGCAAGCCGTGCATCTGCGCGCGTAAACCCGCGTCTGGTTAACACACCTCTGTGCTATCCCCCTCGTTTGAACGCTGCGAGGGAAAAACCTAAGAAGCGACAGTGGGAGACACTGTTCGTAGAGCTGAGGATTGCCATGCGTTCGACTTGCACTATCCTGGCTTTACTGTTCCGCTGCTGCAGTCGGGTCTAATTTCAATCGCTTCGCGTCGTCCACCTCGCCCCGGACTTGAAGCAGGCGCATTGTTTCGGGAAGCAACAGGTAGGTCACACAGGTGAGGTCTTGCGTGGATGAGTGCATTTGCTTCATTGTGTTGCCAATGTCAGTATTTGTTTTCATGCTGAGGCTCTGAGCAACAATGGAAAGCAAAAGGTGGCACATTCCTGCATTATCCTCTAGAAAACGTCATTATAAGAATCGTATTGCGCGTTTCAGTACAACCTCCCATATGTTGGAGGGCGAATGGGGAATCAAGCTTGGCAACAAAGTACAAGACACAGCCCCAGAATTCGCAGGCTTTGGCATCAACTTCACTCATGATGTAAGCTAGCCTGCCTTGCCTCGCCGCAAGGAAGAGACGAGGGAAGCAGGAAGAGGGAGTGGGGCGGTGTTTTGGGGGGGCGGGGTGGGCGGGGGTGGGTCAGTAGGGAGGGGATTCAGAGGTTTTGTCCGTGTGTCTCATGCATCTTTGAGGACCGTGAGAGTCATTGCTGTACCCGGGGGGCACTGGCATAGAGGCATTGCCAGGCAGTGCCCGCGTCGGACACAACCGGCTTCGATACTTGGAACCTTGTCACAACGCCAAGCACCATCACCGGCAACCACAACCCAAACAATATGGGCATCTGAATGCAAGTACCACTCAATGACAACTACCAGTACCACCAACGGGTTCAGCATCAACGACTGACAAAAAAGCACGACTCCGTGGTGGTGTTCTTGCTTCCACTTGCACGTGGAAGACCCCTGACACCCCTGGGAATCGCTCCAAAGTTCAACCTCATGATGCAAACCTTGCGATCCACTCCCAGGGCCCTGCCCGCGAATTCCGAGGCTTATCGTGGTTTACATCTTTGCCATTCTTTTTGTGCAGCTGCTGGCAGACAGCCAAGTTGGACAAGGATGGTTTGAAAATGTTCCTCAGGCCCGTGGGCAAGCATTTACGGATGAATGAGCGATGCTTCTGGCGCTGATGATGTTTGTTTGAATCTTTGGGTATTTTCTGGCTGCAGCAGGTTGCAAGCTGCTGCATTGACCAAGTTGAAAGAGTCTTGGGTCCTAGGCGTCAGGTGCGGTTTTTGGAGCAAGGCCACATACGAGTCGGCAGTTTCACGCAAAGCCCAAAGACCTTCTCAGAGATCCTGGTATTATTGTGCAAAAGCCCAAAGACCTATCATTGCACGAAACTCGAAATCCGACACCTGCCTGATTCAGGCCATGAACTTCCTCCTGCTGCAGACGTTGGCAGGGGCCGATGTGATTGTCATCAACAAGCTCCTCGCAGCAGGCTTCGGAGATAGTATGTAGGGCCTACATGTAGGGCTTTGCGAGTATGGTGATTCAGGTCATGGTTCTGAGTATTGCGTGCAGGAGACTGCAGGAGTGTTACCACCAGGTGATGGCACTCATCAGGATGAGATAGGGACACAGGGACACATGGCCAAAACAAGCAGTACAGTCACCGGGAGGTTGGACCTACTACCTCCTCTACCTGTCCTTTGCAGCTTGTCCGCCACGTGCAAAGCCAGGCTTTCTCCAGAGTCTCCAGACTATTTAGTGACCATTTCCAACTTCCAACACCCGCAGCCCCGTGCCAAGCAGAGTCAAAATACGTACATACGTACATACCTACATACTACACCTTCGTACCGTCAGACCTACAGACGAGATACATACAAACGTACATACTGATAATGTGCACATACATGCAGACAGACATACAGGCAAACAGACATGCATGCATGCATGCATGCATGCATGCATGCATGCATACAGACACGTAAGATGTTGCCAGCCGGTGCACTTGCGATGTCTTTGCTAATAAGCCTGTCTAGTGCTCCGAAGCGGAAGCGTAAGACTCTTCAGCCCGAATCGACTTCGCCCTGCGCCTAACCAAAAGCGCAAATCATGTGATCATGAGAAGGTGTTCTTCGCGTTTTTTCTCATCATTCATGTTTGTCACCTTTGCAACAGCAGCTGTCGTGGTGGTGGTCGCGCAGCGGCGGTGGTGGTTGTGGTGGTTGTACTACTTACTACCAAGCAGGAGTATGAGGTGCGCACACTTGCCCTTTTTGTCCGGTGTGCGAGGCTCGATATCGTCAATGTTGCATGTGTCACTGTGTTACTGCATGTCAATGTCATCCGGACAGGTCTGAGGCTGCTCATCACAAGCTATCCGATGAATGTATTCCGAGGTGTTCATGGGCTCTCTGACCTTGATGCAGCTCGGCAGAAGTGGAAATCACTTTGAGGGTTTCGGGAACTGCCCTGAGGGCTAAGACGTCCAGAGCTTTCGGAGTGATCTTGCGCAGGACACGGGTGTCCTGCATAGTCAGACTGTGCGTATCTACCAGATCTACCAAGCCTGAAACCGAGCAGTGCCCAGCAGGATTGCGCTTTCGTTTCAAAAACAGAAAATCCTCACTCCCTTGGCTCAAGCTCAACAACCCTGGTGCTGTTCAGGCCTGCGTTTTGACGAATAGACTTCCCTACGCAGGTGCTTGCTTTCATTCACTTTCATCTTTCGCATGATCATTGTGTATTGGTTTCAGCATCATTGCGCTGCTTGATGTAGCTAACACAACATGAACGGCTTGCGGCTGACAGGTAAGATGGATTCCAGGGTCAACAGGCCATGTTGATATACCGTACAAGTAAGTGAGTGAAGAGATTGCATGCTTGCCGGTATTCAATTGGGGGCTTCTTTGCAACTAGGAGGCCAGGTGGTAGAACTTGGTTCAGTTTGCATGAAGAGCACGGTTCGTTTCAGTGACGCAAAATGGTTTTTTGCTGTTGGAATTTACAGAGAACGATGAACGAAATCTGGATTCTTGGGACGTGTAGTTCGGGGAAAAGTTCGGCTTTGTTGAACCGTGTGTTGCTGGTCGTTGCTGTATAGACCTCGGTATCGTTCTGTTATGTCACAACAACGCGGTGAGTAACAAGGGGGGACGGTGCTTCAGCTGCTTCAGCTGAGTTGGACACCCAGTCGACACCCGAAGCTTGTACCCAACACCAAACCGTGTCCGAGTCCGAGGAACATGCTCATCGGAGTCCTTTGCGAAGTGGTTGGTGTTGTTGCTCAGATCGAGGATCCGCCTTTGGCCAGAGTCTGTGATTTATTGTCGCCTCGAGTGCCAGTGGCTCACGGAGGCTCTCTTCATGCTTGAGCCCGGTTGCAACCCTTCTGCAAAGATCCCGTGCACTCAGAACGTAGACGTAGACTCCGGATGTCAATCAGGCCCGTGAGTAGGGCTACATATGGCTACATGAAGCATCGGCTGTGACATGCAGATGACTAGCAGACTAGCATGCATCGAGACTCCCGAACACGCACCCGCAGCAGGAAGAACGAGCCTTTCACGACGAAGCACAGCACCTTGCTTATGCAGATCAGACCTGCATGTTTCCTTTCAACTTGAGGTCCACCCGGCTTTGTGAAAGCCTTCGCTTTCATGACTGGGAAAGCAGCAGGTGAAAGCAAAGACTGCTTTTCTGCCAGAACGTGAAAGACCACGAATGCGAGGAAAGGCTCCAGAAGCCCAACGGCTGAGAAATTAAACGTGACAGCTCCTGCTGAACCCTGCTTCGATCGCTTGTCGTTTCAGGGTAGATGTTCTGGAAGGGTTTTCCCTCCAAGCCCCACTCCTCTCAAATGAAACACGGAATGCTTCCGAGGATGTACATCGCCAACTTTGTCAGTCTCGTGGGCGGCACTCGATTTCGGGGGCACCATATATTACTGTGATGTTCAACAGCAAGTTACTCTTGTGGGATTGGGAACGTCGTGTCATCGTTGGGCAATTTGCAGGCGCAGGCTGCAGCCACTAGGTTCATCTGGGTTCCCCACATCCCTGGGTCCCTGGAGCTTGATCCCCAGAGCAATATGAATGACGCCGAGCACAACAAGAATTACAAGAGCGCCAACTGGTAACACGTAACTAGGAGCCGCAACCAGTTTCCTCCTGAGACCTGAGTTCGGGCCAGTAGGAACGATGCGACGATGTCACAGCAGCATTGTCACCAGACCATCAACACCAAAGCAGGAGGAGGGTCTCGTAGGGTTACTTTGCCTTGCCTGTGTTCTTTGCAGTTGCCCCTGCTACTCACATTAAACAACGTCAATACGATCATGAATAATTCTTGTCGTTATCGTCATTATTGTTGCTGCTGCTGCTACTGCTATCACCACCGCCACAGTATGAGTAGTTCAACTTTCCACGGTTTTTGCACCCGAGATGTGCTGGACATCGATGGGGACCAGAAGCTGTCGAAAGTCGAGTTTCTGCAACTTATGGAGCGGGATCCAGACTTGCACCACGTCTGCATCAAAGCTTGTCGTTATTCGGCCTGCGTACTTACAGAGAGACAGCGCTCGCGTTCTGGTTCGCATCTTCCATCAGCCGTCACTGCAACCATCGCTAGTTGAACCTTGGTCGAGCCCAGCACATGCAGACTTCAAGGGTCTGAATACAAGCCAAGTGTGCTGGTGAAACAAATCTGAATGGGAATCTCCAGACGATAAGAAATATGTGCCTAATTGAACCCAAACTGCCAAATCTTGAATCTGCAGGAGACAGCAAAAAGGGCTTCACCCATGCATCTACAATCCTATGCACGCGCAGATGCAGACGCAGCAACACGAACATACGCGCACACACACACACACACACAACTGAAGCACAGACACAAACATACAGACACGCACACACACACACACACACACGCTCGTGCGCAGTCACACGCACACGCACGCACACACACACACGCACTTTTCCACATCGCCTTGACAATCTGAATCCGTTAGCCTCTTTCCCTAACCTCCCCTGCCGCCTTGGCCGCGTCGTAACCCTTTGAGGCTCAAGGGACTTCAGGCTTTCGGAATCGACGCCGTGACCTTGGCCACAGGGATGTGGGTTGTTACTTGTAAGAAGTAAGGTTCAGACTTCAGTCAAGGCCCATTTCGGGGCTTCCGGGTCGGCAGTCTGCAAGGTTCAGGGTTCCATGAGAGCAACTTTGTGGGGTGCCGAGGATGCAAAAGTCCATGGTGTACCGGACTTGTAACTGAAGGTTTTCTCGTGAAGGTTTCCGTGCATCTCAGGCTCAGGTCGATGGCCGAAGTGTCGATTCAGTGTTCAGTCTTCCAGGTTGAAGTGCATATTTCTGTCACCGTCTTGCTCCAACACGGAGAAGCTGCCACAAGCTTACTACATCGACATTGTCCGCAATGATCTTCCGACGATAGATAGGTTGGATGGTGGTGAAATCTCAAGCAACCGACACTGTGTGCATCCGTTTGACGAGTCTGGCGAACAGCCGTGCACTCCATTCGTTTGCATCGTTCTCTTCCTACTTCTCGAACCCCAACCGCTTGCAACCCTCTTCCCGCGAGCGCTAGACTCAACAAAATTGTCAACACGGGATGCCCGAAGCCGCAAGCCCTGAAGCCCTGAAGAACTCTGCGCCCTCCCAAAAACCTAAAGAAAAAGGTCGTGGCATTTTGTGACAATGCCATCGCCTTGTTCTCTGACAACGACACGATGGAAGTTGGTCGCGTGTCAAGGTTTTGTGAGTGGTGTGTTGAATACGGCGAAACGGTGAAATTGATGGGTCGAAGCAGTCCTGGACCGAAGTAGACCGACACGAAGTGGAGGATGGAACAGCACGTGGCCGGAGACAGCTTAGGAGCTTTCCAGCCTCCCGGAACCAATCCAGCCTCCGAAGATGCCACATGTAGACGGTTTGCCAGCCAGGGATCGGTGCATCTTACGTACTAGACTCGCAGAATCGTCTCCACATGGGAGTGCTTCGGCCTGCCTGCGGCCTGCGCTCCTTATTTGTGCAGTAACTTTGCGTGCATACTGCGTGCATTGTACGTTCGAGTCTCCGTTCTGAGTCCTACAAAAGAAACGGGCCTTGTTGATCGGAATGACCATCAACCAGCAAATCTCAAAAACCTAGTTGCACTTCTTAGTACTGACCTATACCCCAAACATCCACAAGCTGCTGCGGCTAAGGTGACTTCGTAGAGCTGGTGACACAGTTCCGGAGCCAGAAGCAAACCACTGTCAAGGACACCCATATCGCACAATCCTACACAGTCAATACGTAGGTGGAATGCATAGCCTGACGAGTTTGTCCTGCCTGTTGGCGTCATATACTAGAGGTTCCGGGTAAACCTGCGAGAAGACTACAGGTTTGCGGGTCTGACAACGGAAAGAGGCGTGCGCCAGGATCCGCCGCCTCCCGGAAAAGGGCCGGCACTGCGTGCACTCCATCACTTTCCAGCCTGCATGTGGAGGAACGAGACCCGACCCAGAAACAGACCTGCTGAAAGTACCAGTACATTGGCACGAATCTGATTCGTTCGACTCCTGTTGTTTTGAATACATTCCTCCTTCTCCCCTCCTCCTGCGCCTCCTCCTCCGCTTCCTCCCCCTCCCCTTCCCGCTCATAGTTATGCAACGTTGCCATGCATATTGCCTGTGCCGGTAGTGGTAGTGGTAGCCGAGGTCGTCGCTGTCGCAGTCGTCGTCGTAGTTTGTTGTGGTCGTGGTGGTTGTGGTGGTTCGTCATCGTCGTAGTCGTAGTCGTAGTGGCCCTAGCCGTAGCTAGAGGGAGGTTAGTAGTAGTAGTAGTAGTAGTAGTAGTAGTAGTAGCAGCAGCAGCAGTAGTAGTAGTAGTAGTAGCAGCAGCAGCAGCAGTAGTAGTAGTAGTCGTAGTAGTAGTAGTAGTAGTAGTAGTAGTAGTAGTAGTAGTAGTAGTAGTAGTAGTAGTAGTAGTGGTAGTAGTAGTTGTTGTAGTAGCAGTAGTAGTAGTAGTAGTAGCAGCAGTAGTAGTAGTAGTAGTAGTGGTAGTAGTAGTGGTAGTAGTAGTACTAGTAGTAGCAGTAGTAGTAGCAGTAGTTAGCAGCAGCAGCAGCAGCAGCAGCGGCAGCAGCAGCAGGAGTGGGGTTTGTGGTGGTGGTGGTGGTGGTGGTGGTGGTGGTGGTGGTGGTGGTGGTGGTGGTGGTGGTGGTGGTGGTGGTGGTGGTGGTGGTGGTGGTGGTTTCGTTTTGTTTCGTTTCGATTCGTTTTACACGCCGCCAAGCAAGTCCTAGCTGTGCGACAGGATGTGTAAGGTCAGTCTTTAGCCCGGTCGCTGTACGACGCATCTCTTTGTAGATGCACCATCCTGAGAAGCAAGGCGTGATAACTCGCCCCGAAAGGCCCGTTAAGTAGCACGTGTGAACAACGCTCAACTCTATACGTGGAATGTATCGTAGTGGAGTCTACATCGCGGCATCCATCGCGAGAGTGCAAGGCTCAGCCGCTGGCTGGTACGACCACTCGCACACCCCGTCACCTCAACGTGCGGATAGAATCCTCTCGCATGCAGCTGACCAAGACGCTCTACCGGCAGTTGCATGACCGAGCGTGAGTGATATGCCACCAGAATAGTGCGGTCACCATCTCGCCACGGGTACGTACCACTCTGGTTATTCGGCTAAGTGAACAATTCGAGATAAGAGGGTGTGGGGCAGCCACTGAGTCCTTTCCAGGATTTAGTGGACATGCGGAAGTTCATCTCGATGCAGCTCAGACATTTGGCGGAAGAGGTGGCTCAGCCCGCTCTCTCTTGCTGCTGTGCTTACTGTTCGTACAGGCCATCTCCAAAATTTAGAAGCGAGCTCATGGGCTCAAGGGTTTGCGACAATGGGGCCTCCAGGTTGCGGAATGTTGGATCGTGCGTCTTTGCAGTTGCACACGAGTATATGTAACGGGGTATCAGAGCAATACGAAATAATTCGCAGCAGACCGGCAAATAGCGAACGCAAACTGGCTGTCATAGATGCTTTCTACAGGACAAGTTTCCGTCGGGCGGCGGATGACCTGCCCGACACGCCATCCCAAAGAGGTCGTCACAAGCGAAAACAGACCACTGTGTCTACGTTGGTTCACGGTATGTCGACTTCGAACTCGGATCATGGCGAAAATCCTTGGTAACCCTACATGCGCCAGGAGAGCACAAGACGGGTATGCCATAGTCCACAGTGTATCTTGTAGGAGTTACGATGTGCTAATGTCTCGGAGCATAGCATTGCCAGTATGTCAGGTCCGAGGACGGTATGGGCACTCACGGATCGAAGCGGCGTTTCTTGGAGGCATTGCAGCAAGATCAACAGCCAGAAGTAAGAAAAGTAACGTGGCACTCATTAGTCGTAGTAGCGCGGTTGGGGATGTAGCATGTATCAACAGTGTCTTCGCCGTATTGTCAGGACACATGAGCATCAATGTACGGAGCTTTCATTTCAGCGGGTAGGGTATGCCATGTAAACAATTACCGACTGCGAGGTAAATCGCTGGTAAATGCAGTGGAGCAGTGCGGGTACAAAGAACCGACGTTCATTTTAGACTGGTGTATGCGGCATAAACTGTCGCCGGAGGCTGTGGGGGGGTCAAATATTGGTGTCCTGAGGCTGGATCTGACACATGCGCATGCACGGGAGATCGCCGCAGGCAGATAGCCAAATCGGGAAGAATGCCGGGACCCATTGTTATTGCTGTTGGAAGCAGCTAGCTGGTCAAACCTAGACAGTCCTGACAGCCGTAAGCAGCACAACCAGTCCGTCTCGACCATCTTCCTACAAGACACTTGGCGGAAGCTTTCCGGTGCTAAAGCACCAAGCAAGCCACCAGCTCCAGCTTGTTTTTTTCGGGGGTGATTAGACGAAGAGATGGGTATATGCTTGTTCTTATGTATGGCCATACCTCTCTTGCCGACAACGCACGCGGAGCACTGTAATGGACGGAATAGTGGAGCACTGGGAAGTGATGAGCCTGGAGCTGGGGCTTTGCTGGAGCCTTGTGCGTTGAAACCCCACGGCTTGAAATACCGCGAAGGCGTGTCAAGCAAAGCATTCTAGCTTGGGCCGGCGCAGGCCCTACTGCGCAATGCATCGTGACACTTTCCTGTGCTAATGCCGGCCAGTCAGAGATAAGCACAACTAGTACCTCAGCGCAGGTCTTAGGTTGCATCGTGTTTCTGAGTGATGATGCTGCTGTTGCGGGCGCACCCTGACCGGTTCGACCACCGTCCCTCGCCCGGTGTTTGTTTGCCCTGCGGGCTGCTAACTCGAAAGAAGCGCTTGGTGTGATTCATGCTGTTGCAACAAAGCAAAGGCAGTTGCAATGTGTTGGATACCTTTGTTGCACCTACATTTTCTGTGCCCTTCCCAGGTGAGTTTTGGTGAGTGTTCGGTCAGTTTGGATGATGTTTCGATCTTCAAGTGCTCCGTTCGGAGTACCGTAGGACAAGTCGGCTCGTGTTGTAACCCTTCTTGCTATGGATACTGGCGACAGCGACTCCTAGGATGCCGACCAGTGATTGATATGAAAAACAAGACAGCGACGTTGGTGATAGGGAGGAGTGAGGATGATGGTGGTGATCATGATGACGATCGTGACAGTTGTGATCACCGGACAATGATGTTCGTTTCGATGGACATAATTAGTCTGTATGATTGGTATGACAATGTTGTTCGACAGGCACATGCTTTATGAGTGAAATTTGCTCATGCTGCTCCGAGCAGAAATGGCGCGGCCATGTCCGTCATCACTCGTTACGTTCCTACTTAGTGACAGCACATCGACACGCCTTCATCCTTGCCGGCTGATCTGTTGTTGGCTTAAGAGCTTCCTGGCAAAATCGCCGTGGGCCTCGCCAGGGCTCAGGGCGTCAGAACGCCTGGCCGCAACTTCGGATACTTAAAGTGCAACTTCTAAGTACTGCTGGTTGCTTCAGGCATGAGAGAGGTTTTACGGGGTGGAAGGGAGCCGCTGTTCGCATCCCGTATGGTGCTAGGCTTCGGGGCGGGCAGGTTGGGACGGCAGCCCCTAAAATCTGTATCATATCATATCCGTTGTTATGGTTTCTGTTTTCCTCCAGTTGCGGTCGCGGTTTCCTTTGCGATCAAGCTTGCGGGTTGGTTGACACTTCTGCAACTTGCCGTGCTTGCTGACTTCTCCAGCTTTGTTTGGTTATCCCGATCGGTTGGAGTTGTTGATCCTGACCTTCCTGGTTTTGCGCAGCAGTTCAGCCCGATGTTCGACTGCTTCAGACTGATGTCAGCCGTAGAGGCAACAATAGTGACAACAGCACGACCAGCAGCAACAACAACAACAACAGCGATTCTTCTAGTTTTTCGTGTTGTGTGTCCATAAGTAAGACTATCGTAATTATGAACATGATGTTTTGTTGCTGTTATTGTTGGCTATTATTTCTCATTCCTACTGCTGCTGCTACTACTACTACTGCTGCTGCTGCTACTACTACTACTACTACTACTACTACTCCTGCTACTACTACTGCTACTACTACGATTACGACGACGACGACGACTACTACTACTTTTACTACTACTCCTACTCCTACTTCTACTCCTACTGCTACTTCTACTGCCACTGCCACTGCTCCTGCTACTGCTGCTTCGACTATATTGCGCTTGTGTTGACATATCATGCTCTTTCGCCCGCATTGACGGTAGACCGAGGGCGGTGCAAGAGTTTACTGTTGGACTCCCGTGCTCCAGAATGGGACGGCAGACGTCGAATTTTTGGATGGAGAACATCCGTGAAAATTTGGGGTCCACGACTAACGAGACCTCCAGCACAAGGGTCATCCAGCGCTGTTTGAAAGAGCGTAGTCTTTACTTTCAGGGCAGTAGAGAGATGATGACCGTGTAGGGGTGATGGTTGGCATGGAGATATTGCCTATGTTGCGCAGTCACGGTTTGCTGTCAAGCATGATGGCTCGAAGATCCCACCTGCAGTGGCCGCGATTCTGGAGCCAATGGGCAGATCTTTCTTGTTGTTAAGAGGCACATCTTGCGACTCCTGAGCTCTCTGACCTTGAGGCTTTGGTGGCAATAGACGACAAGACCCTCTGTAGATCGCCTGACATGGGGCATAGGGTCGGGATAAACTTGCGGGGGTTATGAAGCAATTTGAGACTACTGAGCCTGCATCTGCCAAGTCCAGGACCCCTGCAGTAAATTCTTAGCTTTGGTCCGACACTGCAAAAAGCCTAACGCTCCCAAATTCAGGGCTTGAGGCTGAGCTTTAGCTTGCAGCCATGATTCAATTGATGATAAATAAGCGGATCCCTAAATCCCTGGCAGCCGTTTAATGACTGATTCCTTGCTTGTCGTCAAGAGCCGCAATCTCTCAAGTCTTGAAGCTCAAGCCATGCTGTCGCGAAGACAGCATGGATCCCCGGATTTGATGCTCTGCAAACGCTTCGGACAAAAAGCTCAGGGTCTGCCTGGCAGGTGTGATCGACAGCCACGGTCCCCATTAGAGAGTGCATGCAAGCCTTTGCTGAAGCTAGAGCTTTCCCTGTTGGGCAGGTAAGTGGCTATGCATGCGAAGAAGAGAAGCCTCGCATCCAGAGAGCGCTGTGGACCGGCGTGAACCTCCAAACTCTTGACCGTACAGCCGGGGTTGTCGCGGGCACCAGGAGAAAAGCGCCGGTCGAGTTGTGTGGATGGGGCCATGGGGTGAGGGTTTGGATTTGTATTCCCGTACGGCCCGTAGGTGTGGGGACGAGTTGAGCAGTTGGGAGCGGAGAGGTGGAGAAACTGTAAGCTCGAAGCCGAAGCCCTGAAGCACCTTTGGCAAGGGATTCCGCCGTTTATGCTTGAGAAGGATTTGCTCTCAGGATCCCCGGCCAAAGCACTTCGTATTTCACGGAGTTTTAGCAGCGCAGGTTTGTCACCTCTCACACCAGCCCGCATTATTCTTCGAAGCCTGTCCTGAAGTAGATTCCCTCGGTGAGCTTTGTTCGTCAAGCTCACGGCTGAAGCAGCATAAAGTTCAGACAGACTCTTTGCACGACAGGCGCCGGTTGGAAACTTTGGACCAGGTCCGCTGCATCTGGAGACGTTTGTTACTGCTTCGTCCTTCCAACTGTGTTTCCAGAGCTCCCGTGCATGTTTTTGAGGACCCAGAGCTGGGTTGGTCTGGAGTCTGGGCTTGAACACAGGGCATTGTACCAAAGATGACCTGACTTCCAGTATCTGCCTTCCTCATATGCGGAAGAGACGAAGAGGCTTCAGAATCTCAGGAAGGCGTAGAGCCTGTTGTCGTCGGGTCGATGCTGACAACCGGATGTGTTGCACGACCGAAAGCCCGAACCGGAGATTTCAGACCTATCAGCTTGACGTGCCTCCCACCTACGGAAGGCATCGGTATTCGGCTGCCCAATCAAGCACCCAATGCGTGAGCCCCAGTCCAGCTAAAGCACCCTTCCAGCTCCAACACCGCAGCTGAGTCAAAGCGAACAGGGACCAACAATTGGTATCATCAGATGCTGCGGTTTGCAAGCAAGCGCTTTTCAGTGTTTCGGTTCTACAATGCCAGACATCCTAGCAGGGTCGCCGGGGTTGTACCGAGGGCTCGCCACCACAAGAGTTCCCTACATCACGATTCTAGGTCGGCCTCCCGTTGCGCAATAAGCTTGACCGTTGACCGTCTGATTCTGCAGGCCATACTCAAAGGGCTCACCAGTGCACTGCCGTCGGAGATGATAAAAGATAAATCACAAAACCCTTTCTCTGACCTTGCTTGTTCGTGCAGACATGCGTACATACATAGATGCAAGCATACATACATGCAGACATGAATACGTAGGTACATTGCATGCACGTATGCAGGGGTGCATGCATGCAATGCGTACATACATTCACATACATTTAAGGTTTACATACATTTACATACAGGCAGGCAGACACACACACACACACAAAGATATGCGCGCGCGTGTGTGTGTGTGTGTGTTATGTGTGGGTGTGTGTTGTGTGTGTTTGTGTGTGAGTGAGTGAGTGAGTGAGAGAGTGAGAGTGAGTGAGAGAGTGTGAGTGAGTGAGTGAGTGAGTGAGTGAGTGTGTGTGTGTGTGTGTGTGTGTGCGTGCGCGTGCGTGCGTGCGAGAGCGCAACTCATGAACCTATACAGTGTAGGCAAGAAGCCGGGGGGCAACCCCATGAGCATAGCTGGTTGCCCAACGAAGAGGGCTATGCCACGGCTGACATTGGGTTCGATCAAGCCAACGCATAGGCACAGAAGGGCAACCAGCTAAAGCCGCAAGCGTGGCAAGTCGACATTGTGCACAGTAGCAGAAGAATGTAACAAGCTAGCACAAACTGCAACCATCTAAGTAAGGATGACTGGTCTGCAAATGTGTATTCCCGACAGTAATTCTGCCAAAGTGCTGTCGCACTCCCGGTTAGCGGGGGGAACTTGAAACGTTTGGTACACCTAGACTATACATGTTTTTTCTAGTGCACGAGTCGTCAGCCTCCGTGGACCCCGCTCGAGCCAGGCCCCGATTAATACATGATCCACTTGTGATATCTTTCTTGGCTTGAAATCTCCTTGATAGAACCCAGGTCCAGAAGCTCAGGAGTGGTTGTTGTTGCGGCTGTTCTTCGGTCAGACATCATCGTCGTGTTGCTGTGTTGCTGCCGTTTG